AAGTGATCTAGATGGGAAGAAAGTTATAATAACTATTGTAGAGGACATACTACCCCTCGTGCCTTAATAAAGTAAAAATAATAATAATAATAATAGTGTGGACCCCACATACTAAAATAATATATCCTTGGTTTAATTATGTGGTTGAACATTTTTTATTCAAAATTTAATTATCAACATAAAATATTTAAAAGTTTAAATATTAAAATATGTAAGGATAGAAAGTGTTGGCATGTTTTTACAATAATATGATGTATTATATATTTGAAATATTTCCACTATTGTATAGTATCAGTGTTTTCCAGTTTTAACCATGGTAAAATTATATTACTTCAAGAAACAGAAAGAAATTATAATCGCATTATTATATATAAAATATTTATCGTGGGTTAAAATGAAATAAATTCAAAAGTTCAGGACTGAATTAAGATTTTAAAATCTCTTTTCCTGCACTCTCCTGCCTATAAAATAAATATGCATTTATAAAAACACCATTACTTTTTTTTAAGTGTTATAAAAGGGACTTTTGGTTAGTCTCGTATGATGGTATAAGTTTGTAATTTATATTATTTCTGTAAAATTTTAAACTAAATGTTATATATTAAAATTACGCATTATATTATTGTGATACTTTTGTAATTTAGAGGTCCGGTGAAAATGCTAATAACCAAATCTTGTCATCACTCTGTTGAAAAATTGACACCTTATTAATTTTTATAAAAGATCTCATTTAAGATTGTTCATATTTTTTAATACAACCAGGCCAGAGTAATGCAAAAATATAATAATTTTTTATAAAAAATAACTAATAATGGTGAGATTGTTAAGAATTCGACGTTGAAAAAAAAAATGGACTTTACAATGTTTATAATAGAAATGAGAGATAAAATACCAACTGATTTTAAGATGAAATCAATGAATATTAATATGTATCAGAATGCAACAAGTTCAAACGAGCATCCGATTTTAAAAATAGAATCAAGATGTGCCAAAAAAACCAAAGTTTTATTATGGATTACGCGTTGAAAAGAGTATTTTCCTTCTRATAATTGTGCGATTAAAAATTCAACGGCACGGAGCAAAAGAGAAAAATGAAGAGAGTAAAGAAGAGGGGAGTGGGGGAGACGCGCGAGAGGGTGAAGGTGGGGGAAAAAGTGGAAAGAAAGGAAGCATGGAGGGGACGGTTTTAAAGCAGTGGTACTAAGCAAAAGCATCATCAGACGGTTCTCTCCTCTGCTTCCTTTTTCTTTTTTCTTTCTTTTCTGAAGTAATCTCCCACTCCCACACCGTTCTTCTCCGTCTCTGTGGAGCACTAAATGCAGCAAATGCAGTTGCAGCAGCAGAGCAGTCGTTTGGCGCCACTGTCGGAGGAGCCGATCGGCGAGGACGACGGCCGGAGCCGGAATCGGAATCATCGGAGCCGAATCGAGAGCGGCGGCGGCGGACGATCATCGTGGCGGAACTGGATCAGGACTCATCTCTCCATCCTCTCTTGCGGCAGAAGATCGGACGGCCTCAATGTGCTCCTCAGCGTCCTCGGCTGCCCGCTTTTTCCGGTCTCCGTTCAGCCAAATCATCTCTCCTCCACCAACCAGGTCAGAATCTTCGCCTCCGTTCCGTTTTTCTTTTCCGTTCTGCTTCGCCCTTTGGATCCCTACTTTTGTTGTTGCCTCTTGCCTTTTTTTCCCCTTTCTTTTCAATTTTATTTCGTTCTGCCGTACCATTTATTACCTCCACGTATTCTTTTAATTTTTAAGTTTAAATACTATTTTGTAGGTTGATTTTGTTTTCTTGGGTACTTTAAAAATGTCATTTTTATTTTTTTACCTCATTTATTTTATCTTAATATTTTTAGCGTGACAATTTTGTTATTAAATTTTTTGAAACTACTTACCATTCAGATTTGTATTATAGAATTTTTATTGTATATAAACTTAGTGTTAAAATTTTGTAAATAAGTAGTTAATGGAAGTTTTGAAAGCACATAGCCAAAATGAACCAAAGTGGAGGGTATAAAAATCAAAATAGACATTTTTTTAAAGTGTGAGAAACTAAAATTAACCAAAAAAAAAAGTGAAAAATACGGTGGTAAAAATAATATTTAAGTCTAATTTTTTATTGAGTTAAATTATAAATTTGGTCATTTTTTTTAAATATGGTATTTTTTTTCTTTAAATTTGAAGGGCTAAATGTATGCATCATGTGATAGCTTTTAATTTTTTAAAATTTCCAATTTTATCAATAATATATTGAAAACGGTTAATTATGTTTTTTTTCGAAAAAATAAACAAAATGTTTACTTTATTAAATTATTATTTTATTAATATATTTTGACATTTTGACATGCTAGAAAGAAACAAATTTTGTTGATGGACGGATTAGTGTGTTAATAATGGTATACCATGTGTTCAAAATATAATCAATTTCCCTTGCTAATAAATCATAATAATTGTTTTAATGAGGGACATAATTGAAAGTTTTTAATGCATGTAGAATTTTAAAAGGTTATGAACTCAATAGAGAATTTCAAAAGATTTAAAGACTAAATTAGGAGTTATTTAAGAAAATTAAGCACCATTGTATATATTTTGTCTATTTTAAACGGTTTCTTTATATCTTTGAATTTCACGACTGGCTCAAAATATAAATTTTGACCAAATTAACTGTTGGGTTTGTAACGAAAAATGCAAATAAAGTCTCACATTAATTAAGGAAATGATTTATTCATATATATAAGAGATGACAATTATCTCAATTGGTATAAGACTTTTTTGGTGAAACCAAAAATAAAGTTGTGAAGTATCATTGTCCTTAACACTAGCGTAATTTGAYCAGATGAACAGACAAATGTATTACATGGTCATTTCATTAATGATATATTAACAATAAAGACCGGAGAGAGATTTAATTTAAAGTTTTATGATGTAATTCAAACTTTTTAAAGGTTTAAAGACCGAATAGCTAAGATATGAATTAAATGGACCAAATTGCACTTTAGAGAAACTTTTGTCTTAAAGCTATCATTAAATTTGAAAATGAGTGGTCTAAAATTTACCATTAATTCAATTTTTTTCAACAAATATAAATCTAGAAAAGAAAAATCCATCCCTTTTTTTATTTTAGAGGTTTAGTTAACTAATATCTCAATACACGAAGTGAAAGAAATTGGGCATTCTTAGATAATTTTGGCTAAGATGCTTACCCTCCCCAATAATACACATTTCCCGAAGGATAAGACACATTTCCCGAAGGATAAGAATCTGAAGGAAATGAAAGAAACTGAGCGAGGTGGGCCTATTTTACTTTATTCGTTTTTTTATCCCCAAAAAAAAAAGTTAAAAATGTGTTTTAATGTACAATACTTTCATTATATATATTTTTTCAATTTAGCCCGTTTTAAGAAGTTTTAATTTAACTTTTTTATTTAAATATTTTTTTAATTGTACACTTTTTGTTGGTGGTTATTAAAATTGACTAATAACAAAATTTAAATCACATCATATTGAGTGAGTTGGAAAGATTTAGAAATAGAAATTAAGATTTGTTCTCCCTCTAATTAAGAAACAAAAACCCAAATTATTTACCAAGTCTTAAGAAATTTTTTTAAAAAAATTCAAAATTGGTGTCCTTTAGATGACACTTTTTAAATATTGTATAATTCAAAAAATATTTAATTTTTCTAAAACAATAAAAAAAAACTAAATAAGATAGTGAAAACAAATGTCGTTTAAGTATTCACATTATTTTAGTTTAGCAGTAATTGACACGTGACTTCGATGGAGAGAAATTGTATTCTAAAAATAAAACATACATTTAGTTAGAAAATTGTGTGAAAATGGTTTCATATTTTTAATTTATGGATAGGTTTCCTCGTCGGCTGAATACATAATAGAGCATTTCACGGCGGCGACGGGGTGCCGGAAGTTGAAGGGGAGAGTGAAGAACATATTCGCAACGGGGAAACTGACGATGGGGATGGCGGATGAGGTCAGCTCCGGCGGCGGCGGTGGCGGCGGCGGAGGAGCGACGACGAGCGGAGTGGCTCAAAAAGGTTGCTTCGTGATGTGGGAAATGATTCCGAATAAGTGGCTGATAGAGCTGGCGGTGGGAGGCCACAGCATCGTGGCCGGCAGCGATGGCAACGTCGCTTGGCGCCACACGCCTTGGCTTGGCTCCCACGCCGCTAAAGGTGCCGTCCGCCCTCTCCGCCGAGCTTTTCAGGCATGTCTCTCCCTTAAACTTACTCTCCTTTTATTTTGTTTCATTTTACTTTTATATTTTTAAAATGTTCAGTCGTATATTTTTAAAAGTGATCATTTTGTTTTCTTAATTTTATTTTAATATCATTTTTTTATCACAATTTCAATACGAAGTTACTTTTAATATATTTGTTAAAATATAACCTCGACTTTATTTTAAAGTATTTTCGTTTTGTGTAAAATTTGTATTAAAATTTTATAAATAAAGATCAAGATGGTTACTTTTTAAAAGTACATGAATCAAAATGAACCGAAAAGGAAAGTAAAGAAACCAAAATAATATTTTTATTGTTATTTTGATCTAGTTTTTCAAAAGGTTGGTTTTGATTTGTAGGCATTAACCAATCAATACTTACTTTTACTACCATTAAAAATTTGATAACTCTTTATTTTTAAATAAAAATCATAAAAAAATACAATTTTCTCAATTTTCATAAATCATTGAACGATGGTCAACAAAGATGAATGTTGATGAGTCAGTATTCAAGTGTTGTTCTATCTATTTTGGTCTTTGAAGTCATTTTAGGCGACGGTCATCCAAATTTTTTTTAGTCTCCGAAATCTTAGTTTGCAAAACACTAACACCAAATTTTATATCTAATGAACTCTTTAATACAAAATTATAACAATATTTGAAGAACTTTACTAGATGTAGATTCGTGTTGCAATAGTGATAGAGAAAATGAGAAAAGTAAATAAAATTTTTAAAAGTACAGTAACCAATACAGTGTCAAAAATAGGATTTCAAAATATATTTAATTATTTATTTATTAGAATGTCACATTCTAATTGAGTACCCTACACCCCACTAATATTTTAGAGAAGTTTCACCCATGAATGAGACCCTACCAATTTTGAAAGACAAAAAAAAAAGGTCTTAAATTATTAAAGTTTTTATTTCAGTGCTTCAACAGAAGATCTTGAAGGATATCTTCAAATCAAACATCCCAAGTCCTAGTGTCCCTTTCACTAGGACCATCCCTTAGGAATTAGGATGTAAATTTTAACAATAATTGGAAAATATTTTATTAGCCTTGTTTACAATTTGTATTTAAAAACAACTTTTTGTTAAATATGAAAGTAGAATAAAAATTGAGAAACAACTTTCACATAATCATTATTTACATGTGTTTTTACTAAATTTTTGTTCTTTAACATTGTAGTTTTAACATTAATAAACTTGATGTACTTTCTTAATTTTAAAATTCTTAAAAATTAAACCAATTTTGATCTCTATTTTCAATTAGTTGAAGTATCAGAATCATAAACTAGCTAAGCATCCTTGATTGCTTGAAATGGGCACTAATCTATTATAATATTTTTCAAATTAACTAATTTTTTGTTGTCCAATATTTTTTATTTAGGTTGATTTTAGTTTTTGTATTTTTAATTTTTATTCAATTATTTCATATACTTTCAAAATGAAAACTTTTTAACACAAATTTACTTATGAATTTTAAAAATTTAGTGAGTAGAGTATCGTGCTAAAATTTGATTAAAATAAATAAGATGAAAATAAAAATAAATTAATCAAAATTATCATTATTTAAAAGTATGTTGACATTGAAAGTASTGTAATCAAAATTGATGTTTTGAAAATGTATGAATTAAAGTAGTATTTAAACATAATTAATAGGTTAGTTATTCATTTTTAAATACAAAATTACAAAGGAAGAAAAATAGAATTAGAATGTCGTTTCTTAAATTTCGAAAACAAAAGAAATTGAATCATTGTCGGAAGACGTTGACTTACTGTACAGAATTGTTTTATAGGGATTGGATCCCGTGGCAATTTCAGAGGTATTCTCTCCGGCGCAGTACATGGGAGAGAAGCAAATCATGGCCGTTGATTGTTTCGTGTTGAAATTGTCAGCCGATCAGACGCACCTCGCCGAGCGAAGCGACAACACGGCGGAGATGATCAAGCATGCGATCTACGGCTACTTTTGCCAAAGACGTGGCCTTTTGGTCTACTTGGAAGACTCCTCGTTGACCCGGATCCAATCCCCTGGTTCGCATCCCATCTATTGGGAGACAACCATGTCGACGAAGATCGAGGATTATCGGGCGGTGGACGRCGTCATGATCGCCCATTCAGGTCAAACCAACGTCATCATCACACGGTTCGGCGACGATCTTAAAGCGGGTCCCATGATCACACGTTTGCAGGAGACGTGGAATATTGATGACGTGGCATTTAACGTTCCTGGATTGTCTATGGATAGTTTCATCCCACCTAAGCAAGTACAGAAGGATCAGACAATGACGAATGGAGGACCTTGGCCATCTTCGTATAGTAACTAGAGTTTAATGACTGATTAATACAATTGTGAAGAAAAAGAAAGAAAGAAAAACTCTATTATAAAAAATATATATCTCAATTGTATCTTTTGTTTTTCTTTCTACTCAAATATGAAGAGAATTTTTAAGTAGAGAGTGTAAGGAGAAATTTTTTATGTTAACAAATGTATCATTTTACTAAATTGGTTTAATACCACGTGGAAGTTAAGTTTTATTTTTTTTACTTTTTTTTTATAATATAATAATTTTTTTTTTATTATCTTCATTATAAATGTAATTCATAGAAGCGATAATTTCCAGAATGCAAGATTTTGTTTATGCATGGACTGCCAACAAAAAAATCACAATTTTCTTATATATTAAAATTGAATATTTTATTTGATTATTTATAATTAGTGTAATTATAAAAAAAATATAAGATTAAAAGCAATTATTATTAATAAAATTAGTTAAAAATTTTAAAAAAATATGTATGAATTATTTCAAAATTAGTTTTGATTTATAAATTACATGTTTTAAATAAAAAATACTTTTATTTTGCTTGTGTCATTAACAATGTTAACGAATTGTTAACATATGACGTACATAATAGATAAACTGTTGTCATACACAAATGGATAGTTGAAAAAGAAATATATATAAATCATTTTTTCCCTATTTCTTGAGACGAACATTAAAAGTGAAATATGAGTTAATATTAGAACGTATATAATTTTCTCTCTCTTTTTAAAAATAAAATTTGTATCTCTTTTCGATTATCATTATTTTATTTATATGCAAAGAAGCGTCACTTTAGAGGTTGAAATTACAACGTCCTAAATGAAGTAGGGTGATAGAGACATGACCTACTGAAAATGAAAATRCATCCAAATGAAATGTGTTAAATAATAAAAGAATGTAGCATGTCTATTCATATTATTCCTTAAAATAAAAGAATGTTTTATCAACTTCATTTTTGTTTTCACGAGGTTTAACTCACGGTTTTAATAAGTTTAAATTTATAAAATGTTTAATTAGTTGAGAAGTTGAATTGGTGTAATATGTGTTTAAATTGTGTGAAATATTGAGCTATAGAAATTTGGATATGTGTAGCTCGATTTTTTCCTTTTTAAGTACAGCAAATAAATCGGAAAAAAACAAACAAAACAATTAGAAGTTGAGTTTCATTCTTGTAACTCTTGTTCCCCTGCATTCCATAGAACATTAGAGTCAATTTCTGCCCACAACAATCTAATACATTATTCTTGCGCCAAAGTGATGCCTTCATTTAAAGCAGCTTCAGTAAGCACCACATATCAAGATCGTTCTGTAATATTCYCGTGGTTGCCGCAAGGAATGACGTCGTTGCTCCTGCAGAAGTAATAACAATCAAAGCCGTAGGTGGGCATTCAAATAAAGGGGAGCACCTTGCTATCATGAAAACGCCAGCGGTTACCATAGTTGCTCCATGAATCAAAGCAGATACTGGAGTGGGACCCTCCATAGCATCGGGTGGCCTCCCTGCTCCGCCAGCGCGACANGCTCCCTGCTCCGCCAGCGCGACAACTGTCAAAATCATTTGACGCTTCTTCTCACTGAGCAGCCCCTCGACTTACACTTCAGGTTTGGGGAGCTCCGGCAGGGGGACTTGAGTCTCAGCGGAACCTTCCCTTTTTCTTCTCTCTCCTTTCCCTCATCTCCCGGGTCCTCAACCGAATTTGCTCCATTTTGCTCAGTTGGGGGAGCGGAGGTACGCTCGAGCGGTGGCTGGGCAGTGATCTTTGTGGTAGCGGGGGTCGAACTCGGAAAGTATGCGATCCTATCTGTGCAGATTTCCCAACAGCACCAATAAGAAGCAACATCTTCTAGAATGTCTGGATAAAAGCCATTACCTAATTATTTGAGTCACGGATCACAGCACCAAGACCGACACTCCTATTTAGAACAGCAACATGGTTGTTAAGCTTATAGGTACGAGGCTMTGAATGTATCCAACTTTCTCGATTTCGATCCATTTCTCTAATTTCAGTTGTGTTGCCGATAATAACATGCATTGCTTGATTTGTGGAGTGGTATTAAGATGAATTTTATTTCCTGTTATTCATTTGTGTATTGTAGTATGCCCATATGAAAGGTCCTCTCTTTGAAAGTTTCGTGAGAATTTTGGATGTTGCAATTCCTCGGAATCGAAAACAACCATAGGATTAACACAAACACATTAAGTTTATCCTTATTAAGGTCCTTAATTGCCCTGCAAAACAAAGTAGGAATATCAAAATAGATAGCATCATATAGTTTAGAAGCTGGATTCCAAAGAACCCATGAATTTTTCACCAATTTTCAAGACCACTAAATTTCACATTTCGACTCTTTACCACAACGTATAGCTCCAATTTTATTTCTAGATTTATGATTTATAAAATGTTTAATAGCAATTCCACAATATTTTTCTTTTTATGTAAAAGAGTTAAATTATAAAGTCAATTTCTCAACTTTAAATATTGTGTGTATTTTAACCATTAAACCTTTTTAAAAAATTTTGTTGTGCTTTCCTTTTAATTGGTTTAATGTGAAGTGAACAATTGTTCGATACAAATATTTTTTAAATTTGTCATATCATATCAAATCAACTAACCTGCTATATAAATATTTTTATTAACTATATAGAAACATTAGAAACATAATTAAAAGATTTTGAAGTTCTAAAATTAAATATAAGGACTTTGACGGAAAAAAAAACAAAATAGAAAAGAGGCTAAAAGGTCAATAACTTAATTTATGATTTAACTTTTTTCAAGAGGTTGAATATATCAAATTCTCTAATCATTTAATTAATTTTTAAGTTCTAAAAAATTTTCAATTAAACATTTCCATTTAAAAAAATTATTAAAAATTCTAATAAAAATTTGAGATAAATTATTGTTCTATTGATATATTTGGAGTGATATTCTATTCGACACATGAACCCTAACACATCCATAGAAAAATTTTTATTTGCTCGTTAACAACTCCATCTCTTTTAAATAGCATGTCTAAGTAGCACGTCCATTTGTTTAAATATATTAATAAAACAATGATTTATTAACAAATACGTTTTTTTTCAATGAATTTAAAGATAATATTTATAGGACTTAATAGAGAAATTTTGATACATTTAGGAGAAAATTAAGAATCTTGAAGAATTCAAGATCGAATTAAGAATTACTTAAAATATTAGATACATAACATGTATTTACCCTTCTTTAAGAAAAAAAAAAGTAATTTTCTAATTTCAATTAATCACAACTTCACAAGGCGCTGAAAATTAGGCTATTTAATGCGGCCTGGCCCAGTGAGAAATTCAGCCCATGGGCCCAAGTAAGCCCAAATCCAACTATTTCGTCTCTGATCTCTCTCTCTCTAACAGTAACAGTACACACAGTAGAGAGAGAAATGGCGCCGTCTTCGTTGGTGCGTTACAGCCGTTGGATTTCCCGGTTCAAATTCCCGTACTCTCAGAACAACCTATTTCCTTCTCCGCCGCCTTTCTCCTCCACCACCACCGCCGGACTCCACAATGCCGATTCCGTCACTCCCGGCGGTCCGCCTCCGATACGAGTCTCACTCACCGATTCAGCCGGTCGCGGAGTTTTCGCCACTCGCAAGATCGGCGCCGGCGAACTCATTCACACTGCCAAACCACTCGTGGCTCACCCTACGCTATCGGCTGTCCACCGTGTCTGCAATTTCTGCTTGGGGAAGCTGAGAAATGCTAACGCTAAATCCGAAGCTCATCGTGGATCGTTCTGCGGCGAAGAGTGTGAACGGCATTCCAAGGTATCAATATAATCTTTCACTATTTGCTTCATGTGTTTTAGGTAATCTATATTTTTCTGTTACAATTTATTGATCAGACTGTTTTACGTTAATGTTTTTACTTTTTAGGTGAAATTACCAGCCATTCTGACACGAATTAATTTGTTCTGGTGTGTGAATTGTCTGCACCAACGCTTCCATTATATCGTATTTATGAACTTATGTGAGATTAAATTAAACATATTACTCTCTCATTTGTTTGCTCTGGCGAGTCTTATTTTGTTCAGAAGTTTTTTATTTTTGTACCATGTCCGCCATGTGTTTGTAGTTTTGCTTCTGAAAGAATTTATTCATTTGCACTTATAAAATTGTAATTTCGTTTAGTTACGTTGGAAATGAGCTTCTGATAATGTGGAAGAGGACGAAATTTGTTTTTAAAATTTGAGTTTAGGAATAAGCTCGATTTTAGCATCCTGAATTGTTTCTCAAGAACAAAAATTTTTAGAAACGTGATCGTCCAGAAGATTGAGGTATTTTCCCTTTCTAGGCTTTGGTTGGCAACTTTTCACATGTATATGATTTTTACTAAGTATCTGATTTTTGGAGTGAAGAAATGTAACTATTTTCTGGTAGGTTTTTTATGATGTTGAAATGGAAGCAGATTGGTCAGGCTACGACAACTATTGCAGGTACATTAACTTTTCGATCATTTATGTCACCAATAAATTCAATGTTCCCCACTGTACATACATGCATTCAAAAATTTCTGTTCTATTGTAGTGCAATTATGACAATAATCTGGAGTATCTGGAAAGTAAGCAAAAGATTTTATTCTCTTAAGGCTTGATGATGTGATTGATTATTGGTATGGACTATGGAGTGCCCTTTTGGATGTACTAACCAAGCCAGCTTTAGTACCTTTTTGATACATAGTTTTAAAGGCTGGACTTTCCAGTTGTAGTGGTTAATTGTCTGGTTTTATTTATTATGTTAATGTTTCTTTTAGGGGGGAAAATACGTTTTACAGTCATATCTGTAGGGTCTTTCACAAGTCAACAAATTTTCTGCACCTATTTTCTCTTTGGCCCCTGATACTGTCGGTGGTTTTATTTTATTTCTATGCTCTATTTTTTCCCCTTTCTTCTCTGTTGGGAAAATGAAGAGTGTATTAAGAACAAATCTCGGCTCCATGGATGGAGATGAGCAAAATGACAAGATGGAACTGATTTTTCCCAAAGTGAACTCAATTCTTCACATGTTAAAGTTACCATCATAGTACTTAGCATTCATGGATTAATTTTTCAGCTGGTGTCTCTGAACTAACCAAGAGGAAACTATTAGCAACAAAAAAATTAGTAATTAGCATATAAATACGGGGCTGTTTTGTTTATCATATTTTTTATCTCGACTCTTCTAGATCTTCAAGCAATAGACTGTCTTTTATATTGGTATTCTTCTTATTTTTGATCTACTAAGTTAATTAAAACATGCAAAGGTGCTCACTCATATTTAACATCATATAAGCTAATCACGTTCATATTGTTGTCTAGGGGGCGAGGTTTGAAATATCCTCTTTTGGTGAAGCGCTTGGCTTGTATGGTCATATCTGGAGCTATATCTTCTGACCTCCTTGACATACTTCAACCCTCTAGTTTGTATCCTCATATGATTTTGGAGGTAAAATACTTGAACATATTTTATAATGTAATTCTGGACGAGTTTGTATGATGGGCCACTTTGGTCTGTCTCCAACAGAGAGAGCACAAAAATTTTCTGTTCAGACACTTGGGTTTATTACAAGCATGAACTGGTAGTGGTAATATACAATATCACCTTGGAGCTAGCATTTTGCAGTCTTAGTAGGTGTACAACTCCCTGTTTTTTTTAATGACTAATTTAATTAATTGATTTGTGTTCAGCTAAAACTACGATTCTGATATTCTTATGTAAGCAAGGTTTTGGTGAAGACTAATTTAACTTTGCATTGAGTGTTAAGTTTGTATATGTTTTCTTGGAGTAGGAAGGCAGGCTGCCATAGTACCAACAAGTACTACAAAAATAGCCGCTAAACAAGTTGTATAGGAACTGTGGCATAGAAGCCCACCTACAACTTACAAGTGCCCTCTACCATAAGTAATCAAAAGAATGAAAATATTTCTACCATAGTGAAGATTATGCTAATCCCCATACCTCTCAATTCATTGTAAATATATCTTCGAACAAATCTTGTTTCACTCAAACCAAATGTGTCACAAAGGTAGCTACTGGCTAACACTTTACCAGCTAAAGAACCTTCCTTTTTTTACCCATGTTAATGGAAGTCTTATTTTAGTTGAAAAAAGATAAGAAAGTGTATGTATTCTCTGGAAAATCTAGTTACTATGTGAATATTGTTTTATTCATTATCAGTTTGAAGAAGGATACAGCTTGCTGAGAACAGCCTTAGCCAAGGCAAACATCACAGATGAACGGATGTTATGTATCCTACTACATGCTGCCAGAGATTTGTGACGATATTACTTGCCTCCTATTGTTTCTCGTTGTTGTTGACTTACATATTCCAAGTTTTAACGCAAGAATGGTACAATGGAGTTCTGGCTCGAATCCGTATTAATGCATTTCGTATTGAGTTGGCTGGAGGGTACGAAGATCTTCGTTCTGCTGCAGCGGCCTGTGTTGAAGCTGAAGCTGCTATTGGGAATGCTGTTTATATGCTACCATCCTTCTATAACCATGATTGTGGTCAGTACACCTTAATCTCTGCTTACATGTTTGCATCACTTTTATCCTTCCACTTTTTCCCCATTATCTCTTTTTTCCTGAGCATTTCTTTTAGTCGAGACGTAAAAGACATAGGAAGGGAACGGTTACCATAAGAGCCACAAAGTTTGCTATTTGCTTGCATCTGTTATCTAAAGGTTTTTTTTTCAATTCATTTGAAGATTTTGACTTCGTTCCAATGATTCGAAATTATGTTAATTCATTCGGCATTTTGCTTTCTTTGCCTTGCGGAAGAATTGGCTGGAAAGAAATAGGAGAACGGTGTTGAGAGTTGAGAGATCAAGGGAAGAAGTCGCAGATTTTGTGCCTTCCCTGTGGGCGGTTCTTTTGAAAGAGTTTTGTATTATCCTTTAGGTCTAGTTGTTGTAGATTGGAATTCTTTTTTGGTATAGTTTGTTTACTTTTTGGTTAGCTCCTCCTGGCGTGTTCTCTTGCATGCCCTTTTATAATCTTTCATTTTCTCTTTGCTTGTTTTTTTGGTAATTGAAAAAAGAAAAATCGATTGCGGTCCCGGACTAGCTTTCAGAAATGCTGAGTACTAATCTGAAGTATGATACCATGCCTATGCTTGTTGCAGATCCAAATACACACATTATATGGATAAACAATGCAAACGCGAGATTGAAGGCACTCCGTGATGTTGAGCCTGGTAAGTTTTAAATGTAATGTATTTTTCATTGTGTCATTTCATTTCTATACAAATTCAAGGATGAGTTGAGAACGCATAAGTTAGCAAGACGAGAATACTTGGCTTTATGTGTACATAAAAGCACGACAAATGTGAAATTTTGCGCATCATAACCTATCAAACAAATCCTTTAAAATAAAGAAACTACATACAACTAATGCTAGAGTAATTACAGATGAAGAGCTTCGGATCTGCTATATTGACACAAGTATGGACCATGGCGCTCGGCAAAGTGTGCTATCGCAGGGGTTCGGTTTCATTTGCAACTGTGTTCGGTGTTCGGCTGGTGATTAAATGAAGTCATTTGCTGTCTAAAACTTCTCGCTTATAATATGCTCAACTGAAACCAAATTGTTGGACCCCTGCCTCACTTCTAAGTAGCTATTGTTCGATACGGAATGATACTACCTGGCTGGATAAGAGAGGAGGAAGAATGTTCAACGAACCAGTATCCTTATTTTCCGGGTCAGAATCTAAATTCACTTACGGCTATGTCTGAAAAGTGCTTCTCACTAATGACTATCACATGTTGAAGTAATTTGTAACCGTTTTTAAAAGGGACCAATTGCTTGAGAAAGTACTTATAGTGTACTTTGATCTAAATACTCAGTTGAGAAAACACTTTTTGAGTGTAGATCAAACATTTTGATTCGTTATTATACTTTTCTCTATAAAGTTCTTAGAGACCAAACATCAAAAAACACTTTTGCTATGGTCTTTATAATCAAAAGTATTTTATTTTGAATGAACTTCAAAACGCATCTTTAACAACTCAACGGGAGAAAATGATCAAAATTTTCCATCATTAAATGTATTTTATTCAAAAAGAAGAAAAATAGCTATCCCGATTTTTTAGTGGTTTGCATTGTGTGTTATGAATAAATGGCCTTAAAGCATGTGAAATATTTCGAATTTGTATAATTCAACAAATAATTTATGCCGATCCTCCTTTTTATGTTAACTTATATATACCGCTCAATTTATAATAAAACATATATACAACTTTGTTACAAATTGAAAAATATAAGATACTGAAATGCCGACCATTTTATTTTAAATAATATATTTTTTGAATTTTATCGTTTAATTAAAATACCATATATTCAACAAAAATTATAAATTCACCAAAAGATAAGAATGCTAGAGAGTGGCGTGGATGTAAGATTCATAGTTTCTTGTCAAAGTATTTTATTGATATCAATATAACTATCAAAATGCATCTATAGATTGTTATTTTTGCTTAAACTTAGATAATAGTATCAAATTTAAGTGTAACACAAGCCTTCCCAAACAAAACACAACTAAAAACACATTTTCACCCTTTTTTTTTTTTCAAAACACGGTTCCATCATCAAATTCTAGAACCATAGAACACATAATTCAGCAAATCCTTGGCCATCCTTCGCTATCATTGATACAAAAAATTAATAATGTAACTGCCACAGCATCAGTGCCACCTCTTCCTAACTATTAGATGCATGTTCGAAATAGAGTTTTTAATTTTTCACTTCTGCACATCCAAGAATAGCCGCGTTGTACCAGTCCACCCAAATAATTTCTTAACAAATATGGATATGGAGACTCAAATACGCATTCGTCCACCAATATAAAAAGTTATATTTGACTTGAACATTGTTCAACTAGTCCTACGTGCATGTTTCTCTCTAAACCTATGTACTTTTTTTTGGATAAGAAACAATGATGTATTAAACACAATAGGAAGAAACAGCCTCGGGGCAAAGGGTGGAGATCACCCTCTTTAAAATCACTTATAATCAGGGTGAGAAAACCTACGGTCTTCTAATTCTCATCTCGTCCAAAGGGTCATAAGTTCAAATCCTCACACCTCCGTATTAGTGATATAATATTCTCAAAATGAAAAGAAACCCCCAGCCCCCAAAAAAAAGGAAGAAAAAGACTCAACTGAAGAAAATATCATTGGTAAAGGCCATTATAATCATCTCCCTATTCTCTCTCTCTTAGAAAGAGCACTAAAGAGAGACGAGTAAAGTATATATTTTTGCCCGTTTATGAGAAGGGTGGTATAGAGTTGTAAAAGGATAGAAGAGAGGATGGTGTGTGATGCGAAGGGATTAAGGCATGAGATTTAAAAACTTTACTATGAGATGATGAAGAAGGTAGGTACCACAAATACAAAAGCAGATCATAGTGAAGATTATGATCTCACGTGGAGATACCTGTGGGAATTGAACACCGCATGATCTACCACCATTTCTTACTATATTTAATGTACTTTTTTTCTCAACCAACACACCCTTTTTCTTCTGCATCTTCTTGCTTTCGATGCTTTCTTCCACACACCTGAACTACAAAAAACCACAATTTTACTTTTAGATTTTGCCTGCTGGTGCCGAAACGAACTTGTGAATGACAGACTATAATTAATGATGATCAGAAGAGTAGTTTGACAATGTAGAGAAAAGTTTACCTACACTATTGGTTAACGTCTAGACCGAGATTTGCACCGAAACTCAGCAAGGAGTGCTATATGATCAGAGGACCACACTGGGGAGGGAAGTGCTGTATCTTTCCTCAAGCTCTCCTCATCCAAGAGCTCTAACAAAGACTCCACTGTCAAAGTGTCCGCTGAAGAAACAGAAAATGTTTTTTTTTCAAAAAAACTCATCCCAGTTGTGAACAGAATGGAGAAAAAGAGAAGAGAAACCAGTGGCAGTGGTATACCCGTGTAGAATATGTAGTCCAGGGTTCCGATGAAATCCCGAGTACAATTTGTAAACAAGGGTTCATTTGTTGTAGGATCCAGCCTTTTCCGCTGCTTATCTAAACTGATACCAACTCCCTTTATTGCAAAGGAGGAATAAGCACTAACCTGTGGGGAAATATTTGATTCACAACAGGGAAGATAACCTCCAACCCAAACTCCTCCATTTATTACTTCTTGACCAAAACCATAAATTGACAATATCGACAGAAGACTTACCAATGGTAGCTGATGTGACAATTTGCTATGTGGCTGACATAGATTTAGAGGATCTACGGCTAAATCCGGATGCGTTGGTTCTACCTTCCCCCTTGCGAGAAGATGATGTGGAGCACTGCAACAAAGTTCAATAACTAAGATAATTGTACAGACCTTTGACATTACCATATGATGATATATGCCAATAAGTGCAAATAAAGGACTACGCAAAGAAATCTAGCTTGGGTTTTTCTCTAGATTTTATTAGCTTTTTCAGCTCCTTGGCTTGGACTTTTCTTTTATTATTGCTCTCGTGTCTTCTACTTTTGTTCTCAAAGAAAGTTGTTCTCCCCATAAAAACAAGCGCAAGTAAAGAACTACTCAGAAAACAAACCTTCCAGGAATAGAATTAAAATCCCCACAGACCAACATCGGAATATCTGCACTGACAGCTATTTTTTCCAGACCTTTCAGTAGAGTGTGCACCTGGTTTCGGGAATGTTAAACAAGACAAATTAATATGCAAAGGGAGGGAGAAAGAAGAAATTATGAAACAGTAAAACAAAAATCAAGTCACCTGCCAGAGCTTGACATCTTTCAAATCTTGATTTCCATTTATATGCGTATTAGCCTAATAAGAAGTTAATAAGAAATTTTAATGAACACTAGAATATGTAAGCAGGGGAGAAGAGGTAAGCAGACAACAAGAGGCTCCCCCCGAGGAAATCCAGATGTAAATTTCAGGAAGAAAGCAAAAGATCCAAATCTATGACTATGACTCTGCTTGTAAAGTAGCATATCAAACAGCAAGGTTGAAATTCTGAAATAGAAACCACAACCCACAAGTGTCTGGTGACAATCATAACCTATGATGTCTAAAAGAATACCTAAGTTTGCTTGACTTTTGGCATTGAATAACCATAGCCAACCCACTCAGTTCAGAGAAAAGTTGCTTTTCTGTGACGCATCAAAATTAAAAAGAAAAAAATGATACACATTGCTTCATGTAAAGTACGCATAAAAGAGAACCTTAGAAGAGATAAAATAAACTTGAATATATATATATATATATATATATATATATATATATATATATATATATATCCAGCCTCATCAATAACATTAACCAGTAATTATATTAAAGGCACGACAAAATCAAACCGCAGAAAGATCACCAAAATAAACAAACATAACAGCAAATATTCAAGAATGCTTACCACACAAACAAGCTGCCTTTTTCCTGGATTATCAACGGTTGGAGTGCTGAATTTCGATTCAAGAACTACTATAAGTGCAACGTCATCCTAATGACCAGTGCAGAAAAAATTTCTTTATTAGTTCGCAACATGCTATGAATCAAAATGCATAGATAAGATGGGGGAAAGAAGTAGAAGACAATCACCTTAATTAACCGGTTTAAAGCATTTCTCTTTTGTGCAGTTAGAATAGTAGCAGGGTCAGTCAAAGATTGTGCAGCTTTGTTGAACTCAACCTGTACACGTAAAATTACATTTAGGATGCAGCAACACACACATTGCAAAGAAGTGAAAACACTTCCTAACCTCATATTTTTTGACGTGTGCAAATCTATCTCTACGGAAAAATGTTGCACAGCCATCAATTGTTTGTATGTTCCCATTGTAGACCTGAAATAGATAAATAGATACAGTGCAAAAGACAGATAGACTTTAAAATTAAAATAAATTTTTTATATATATGAAGGAATTCACTGTAGATGATAAATGTGAAATCAACCTCATTAGTTTTTCTCTTGTAAAGAGCTTGATAACCATGTTTGTCAAATTCAGGAGCAAAAAATTCCACAAAGTGATCACTTTGAACCTGTTTAGAGAAGACAAAAAAAACATACTTCATACATGAACATTCAAACAAAAAAAATAAAGAAATCTTTTTCCAAATTTTCAATGATACAATGTTGAAGCATTCCCCAAAAAAATAATTGGTCCCAGKGAGGCAGAAACCATTGAAGTTGCTCATCATCTACTCTAACACATTCCAAAAGAATAAACAAGAAAGAGGAGAAAGGTAGACGTGAAAATTTAGCTCCTTTATAGTTTTCCTTAGACATGTCTTTTACATCTCATTATTTGGGACACTACCTGTCTCTTTGGGTTGAAATGAGAAATGTGTTTGACCGTCGATCCTTTTCATATAATATAATATAAGGCATTCTATAGAAATTCATATTGAACAATTGAACACCAAACTCAGGCCTATATTACAAAGGTGATCAATAAACATTTGCTTTTAATACTCACACCTTTGTTACATATTCCATAGGTCACAGAAAATTATGCATTGTGGCCTATGGCTCTTTCAGTACAATATAGCAGATCTTTGGAGGAATTTTATTAATTAATGCTAAATGAAGGGTGCTTACAAATAATAAATTTATAATCAAAGTAAGTATATACCTTACATAGGTTAAAAAGATCAAAGTTAACTTTTTAGACATCCAAACAGTACATACATGGATTCAAAAAGATAAAAAAAAAAAATAATAATAATAATAAACTTAAAATCACTTAAACACAAACATGGATTTAAAAAGATTAAAAAGTTTCTTTTAAGAAAGCCATACACAACACCAAGAAGAGGCCCAATAGTACTGCAACTAGTACCCAAATATCATATCTAGTTTTTGTTAGATATTATGTGGGTGTCCAAGCTAGCTTCTTACGCACACTTTAAATAATCCTACAAGATAATCGCTTGACTCTACCGCAATTAGTTGCCAAAGAAACTAGCAGTATATTAAATTGCCACCATGGTTTGATCAATATACTACCATGATTTGAACACATTCCCTCTAAGTCCTTAATTTTTTCATTAGCCTCTAACCTATTCCATGGTGGTTATATCATATCTAGTTGTCATCGTCTATCAAACGTGTTTAATTAAAAATGCAAACTTTTTTCAAAGTATTAACTGGATTCTTTATTGACATAAAAATAGATATAAAACATGCAAGATCCTGAATATTTATAACGCTTAGAACAACTTCACAAGCAAAGAAGCAAAATTCTGGAATTCAAACATGCCAACGCTAGAGTAGTCAAAATTATATTTATTTATAAAGCATGAAGACAAAGTGGTGGCTACCTCCTGAAGACAAATTATATCTGCACGATAGCCAACTATCTCCCGGAGAAGATTTTGCCGGCGATAGGGCCACGAAAGGGCCCATGAAGGGCAATAACTGAATGTTTCACTGGTGGCATACACATCAGCCAAAATATTGTATGAAAGCACTGTAAAGGTTCCTGATGATGACACACGGCCATCTAAATCCATCTTTCCCATCACATCAACCCCATTAACAGGTATTAAGCGACGTGGACTAGCAGATGGAGCTGGAATGACCCGAGAAGTCAATACAGTAAGTGGAGATGCCACAGGCAACATGGTTTCCACATCGACTACAGCACATTCAAACTTGAGGACATGGCCAATATCTTCAGCAGTTGGTGTGTAACTCTTACAGCGTCCTACTTCTAACCAAGTCTCCACACCAGTCTTTTGTGTAACAGCTGTCGGGTATAATGGTGTTGAACCATTTGTCAAGCTAGTACTTAACGTAGAACTAGATGAGCTGGAGTTGATGGCACCAGATGTTGAATTATTATTATAGCGACCAAATAACTCTTCCTCTTCATTTCCATTCTCATTCATAGCACTGGCAGCACGGTCATGTAGAACACGATGATGCTGCCAAGAATCTGAAAAGCATTTGGTGGTGCAATGGTAACTTTTAAAAGCAGGAATTTTGGCTTTAACACAACCTAAACATTGTAAAGTGGCTTGCTCAGAAGGATGTACACTACAAACAGCAACTTTTTTATCACTTTGTAAGCGATACCTGAAAAGAATTTTTTGTAACAAGCTTAACATCAGTAGCGTCATTATAACAAAAAGATTGGTGCCAAAGCCAAAATACTTCCCAATTCCTACACAGAGGAAAAAAAATCTGGCAGAAAAATAAATTATTGGATTTACAAAATGCAGCAACACTAAAGGGCCAGATTCTGCTGCACTTCGATTTTATTAGCATAGTAAATGCTTCTTCATCAATTTTCAGAGATATCCTCAACCAAAAAGTAGATAAAACACTACTCAACAAATATGTGTTCCTTATATAACTTTTCCTGATAAGAAACAATTCCATTGATGGCATGAAGTATAGAAGTGCCAGAAGGGATTAAACTACTCAACAAACTTCAGTAACCTGATTAAATTATTCTAACCAGTCGCTTAAAAAGTTTGCCTTTTATATCCAAAGGTGCAGTTTATGTTCGGCACACCTGAGCATGCATCTTGGCACGAAGAGGCACACACCTGAGAGTGTGTGTGTGTGTGTGTGTGTGTGTGTGTATAATATATTTAATTTCTCATTATCTCTTCATTCATGATGCTATACTCGTACATATATAATTATTTTATTTTATTTTCTACTGTGTGCTACACAAAAAAATTATCTCACTTTTATGTGTTACACACTTAAGCCTTGAAGGACTATTGTGCAACACTGATCCCTACAAGAGAACGTATACCCACTAGTAATGAGATATGACAAAATCACATTAGTTCAAGGTTTTTATTCCAACCAAGGTTCAAGTCTCCTTAACCTACTTACACCTTCATATGGAAAAAGAAGAAAAAAGATATCATTTGGAGGAAAGGACAATTGGATTCATAAATTTATCCAAAATCACCTTATTTAGAAAAAATAATCATTTACAAGTCCACTTAACTGCCTAAAATGTGATCGTGTCCATGTCCTATACTTTTAGAAATTTGCGTGTCGCCGTGTCGTGTCTATGTCCCATGTCCATGTTTTATTTCAAATAACACTGAGCAGCAAATGTTTCAACTCTCATAGCAACAAGATTCTGACACTAAACCTCAATTTGTGACCCCTACATTTTCAGTTTTTTGTTCCAAATTTCATTTCATATGGTGGATAAGAAAACTCTTGAAACTACTCTAGGTATTAATTATTCTGATTGCAACCCAGCATGACACCACCAAAATTTACTGATTAAAACCTTATGCTAGTTGCCACAAAACATCATATTTTATTTCCTATAATAACATCATATTTTAAAAGGAACCAAAGTAACCCCTTAGCCAAGAGAGCTGAATTTCTAAGCATTTCTCTGCCTCCAGCACAGGCTCTTCACTTGCTCTCCAAACAACTAACACCCCCCCCCCCCAACCCCTTCCTTCCTAAAAGAAGCACATATGACTTTCTTCCACCTATTACTGATGAAAGAAAGGATCCTAAATACGGATAAGAACAAGAATAGGTTATATGATCCTATTTAAATGGGCTGAATAAACATCGATCTCTTTCCCTTGAGAGGAGGGGGAAATTCTTCTACAATCAACGGTAAGGTCTCTTCAAATAAAATTGACCAGGAATAGGATTATACCTAGTGGAAGACCTACATATGTTTAGATAGTAGGGAAAAACCCCACACCCTACCAATCGAGCCCACCTGTCAAGTTCATAATTGACACTAACTGACACAGAGCACTTCTTCCTATTGATCCAAAGCCCAGAATATATCTCAAAAATACCGAAGATTTTATAAAGGTTAACAACAAAGAGTCCTCCCTCTCAAGGTATAAAAAGATGGCATTATCAACAAACTGAAGATTAGTGATATGAACCTTACTCTTCCCCTATTGTATATACTGCATAGATGATAATTTTACAAATAACGATAGGGGATGAGCAAGAAGCTTATTGCACACCTTACACTTTGAAAAGGCCAACTATTGCCAGTATGCTACATATCTCTAATATCCAATTATATGATATCTATTTTAAACTATTTGAAATACATTCCATGAAAAAGCAAATAAAGGGCAGCAACGACTCTGAACATATGTAAAAGTACAGACGCAGTAGAACAAAATTAATAACGTCTATATAATACCAAGCTGACAATTTCAAACAAATTGATCGTTTGATTTATAAATCAGAATCATGGCAATTTCTTGCCTTATAATAGGAAAATAAATGGGAGAATAGCATATAGGGGTTTAAAACATTAATCATACTATACAAAGACAAAAACGAAAACAGCCATTGCAATACACATCAATTTACAGGATAGGCTCCAAGACCAACACAGAATGAGTTCGAAGTTCCAACAGAACTACCAAAGCACATAAACACGTCCAACTGAAACGCCATGACTAATAGTCAATAATGACTGTACCACAGACTAAGAAACAATCCATATTCAGCAAGAAAAGAAACTTGAACTTACCATCTGTATCTCAGGAATTGACCGTCAAGTGGAGCCGACTCGGAGACATCATCGGTGTTGATGTTCTTATCCGGGCGGCGATGGAGGACGTAGGGTGTGAGCTCGCAGCCTACAATAGGAATATCGGAAGGCAGATGCACGCGTACCACGCTCAGCATGCTTTTTCACTCTCGTCGCAATCGTCACAGCCGGGCAAACCTATCAACGCGAATCGAACACAACAGGAAACGAAAACAACTCACGCAGCTTGAAGAATACCACAACAGGTGTAGAACAGGCGGATCCACCATTTACACAAGCTCAAAAACCGCAGACTTCAGCGACGAAATGGGAGGGGGAAAAAAGGGCCCAAGAAATCAAGAAATTAGAAGAACATGTGCGCAGATCTTGCGAGCGAGGTGTGGAACTGGAGAGAAACAATGAGGCGGCGTGAGACTGATCGGCGGAAACGGAATCGAAGAATCGAAGAATCGAAGAGGGAAGAAAGGAGGAGGAGGAGGAGGAAGATCGATTATTAGGGTTTTACAGAGGAGGAAGTGAAAGTGATCTTATTTTTGGGTCTATTTCTGAATATAATGCGTTTTTCAAAGAGAGAGAAAGATGAGGACCTGGAGAGGGCGTGAGGGAAGGGGGCCTTTATATACAACATTTCTTTTTCTTCTATCCTCTTATATTAATTATATTATAGGCCAGGTTTTAAATATCGATCTCTATCCAAATGAGCCAATACGAGAGCTTGACGGTTAAGGTACATTGTAAATATTGGAGGTTCAATCGGTCTTCGATAGATATTTTTAATCAACTTGAAATTTGTTAGTAATATTTTGTTGATGTTTTTTTATGTTTTTCAATGGTATGGAAGTGTTGATTTATCACTCGTGTTAAAGTCGTATCTATTGATATTTGATTATGGACAACTTGGGTACTATGCTAATTTGGTTTTTCTTTAAATTAGGCCGATCATGGACTCAAGTATAATCGGATGGAGCCAAAGGCATAATTGGATGGATAATTCCAAGTTGGTTTGATTTTGATTAAAAACAATCATCATTGAAAATTAATTCCTATATTGGTGGCTATGGTTTAATCTCATTCCCTCTAAATCCTTTTGATTTACCTTAGCCCACGTGGACCAATGAACAAATCCATGATATTTATGATGTTTATTATTACGGTCTAAATGCTCATGTTTGGCCATATTATTTGAATATAGTTTAGTTAAAATGTTAATTTTGGTTCATACATTTTTAATGTATGCTGTACTTTTAAAATGTTCATTTTGATATTTGTATTCCTAAAAAACGACTTTTTTGAATCCTATTTGTAAAATTTTGACACAAATTTTATGGAGGTTATGTTTCAAGAAATATATTGAATGTAGTGTTGTGTCAAAATTGTGATATAAAAAATAAAATGAAGGGACCAAAATAATCATTTAAAAAAATACAGGGATCAAAACAAATATTCTAAAAGTATAAGGATTAAAATAAAATAAAATTGATTAAAATGAAAATTTTAAAAATACGGGATCGAAATTAACCTAAGCTAAAAATACATGGTGGAAAAAATAGTATTTCAACGATGAAGTTTTAAACAACTACTCTTCCGAAATAGTCTTTCTTTTTTCAAATGGTCTTCCAAGTTAGTTTCCAACTTCCATAGGTTTAGTTTTAATTTTGTAACCCCAACATATTGTATAAAAAAGGAAACCCAATTTCAATTAAACGTTGAAGTTTTAAATAATTTAGTCAGATTACGTGTCTGATGTCTCTTATCTTTTTTAAAATAATCAATATATCTACATTTATTTATGGTAAAATATATTTTTAATTTTAAATCTTTTTTTAGCATAATATATGAGGTCATGATCGAACTTACAACATTTTTGACTTGAGATATATATCAATTACCGTTGAACTGTACTCGTTTTGACTTCTGGTTTAAGTCTTCAACTAAATATTTAGATTAACAAAGTTCACGAATATTTTAGTCTCTAAAATTTGGAGATTTGTACCAAAGCGAGAAGCTCTGGTAATTGGTGTTGGAGGTCAATTCCTCAAGGCCAACTAGTTAGGAGCAGGCCAAGTACCAACCTGTGAGATCGGAGCCCAATACTTAGACGTGCTCGAGAGCACCTCAGTGCCCCACCTTGATACAGGAGGGGGTTCAGAGACAACCATTTGGACCTTATGGGACTGATAGCTACCATTTTTATGGCTATAAATGCACCACCACCCCACCAATCCAGGTATGAAAATCTGTCTGAAATTGGTCTGTCTAAGTTCAGATTCCACACTTAATTAGACGTCGGAATGATCTACCTAGTTTTGCAGGTACCCTTAACGAAGCTTGCACCGATTTCATAGGTCGCACCATGAGACTTAGGTAGATTTTGACATTAACAATCGATAAATGTCATATTCAAGCCGACTAACTTTTATTAGTTTTATACTCATTTTGGTTGATGTACCTTATTTTTTTGTCATTATTCTCTTCCCTATCTTTTCTCCACATCCATGCTCTTCCTATTTTGCTTCTTCGAGAAGAAGCACGCGGCTGTGGGAGATGTCCCGGTAGAGTTCGAAGCTCTCCTGGACGACGGCGTGGAGCGAATACTGAACCAATCGGTTCGATTTTGCCGGTCCGATGGGCCTGGTTGCATTTGCTATGTCGGGAAATTTATGCCGGTGAGAAATTCGATCAATCAACATCGCCGATTTCATATCCCGGATCGGCTCATTAACCCGCCGATTTCGTCCATGGTCACTCTCGGACATGCGCTTATGGGACTTCTCGATGAGAAAGCAGTCCAAAATCTCGACGAGGTAGATATCGAAGGTGCGGACGAAGGCGCGGTGTAGTCCTCGGGGGTCTTGGTGATGTGCTTGGCTACATCGTAGGCGATGAGGAAAAGAAAATGGGGATGTGCAGAAAGGAGAGGGAAGAGAACAATGAAATTAAAAAAAAAAAGGAAAAAAGATACATAGACCGGTACTAATATAAAACTAATAAAAGTTGCAAACTCGTCTAAAAATTCACACACATCATTTTTCTGTCAGTCATTTAACCCTGAACTAAGGTCGGAGACTATTACAATCATTTCTTCAAACAACTAAAATACCACTTTTAAGAGTTATTAGGAGGGAATGAATTCAAATCTCAGGATGGTTAATACATATATATAATAATAAACGTTTGGATAATATTACCAGGAAAATGTAAATTTCACAATCTTATATCATGATACAAATTGAACAAATAACCTTATCTAAAAAAAATTGAACAAATAAACCTATCGAAAAGGCGTCAAAACACTAACAAAAAAAAAGTTAATTAACAGCAAAACTAAAACTAAAAAACAACACAACAAACACTACATGCCAAAATAAAATTTTCTAAATCACTTCATAAAAACTTCGATGTATATATATATATATAATCGGTCTAGACAAAATGAATATCATGACAGTTTTCGAATACAAAAGATAAAAAGATAAAAATTAAAAGGAAAAATGGAAGGAAAGAAATAGGGGGCAAAGATTTTGTATAATGATCCATACTTTGGTTTGCCTCATAAAATAAAACCCAAAATCTTGAATCTCCCACCGTATAAGACTCGTTTGAGAGAGCGATTGAGACACTTATCTTATGGAGAGAAAGATGTCGGTCAGCCATTGAACCAAGTGAGCTTTTTGTAAAATTGTAGGTACAATGAAATTTTTTAATACAAATTTATGATATTTCAAAAAATTTAGTTAATGAAGTGTCGTGATAAAAATGAGAAAAATGAAATGGAACGACTAAAATGATCTATTTAAAAGATACATGAATCTAAATGAATTAAAGCGGTTCATATATATATATAGATATATATATATAGTGCCTTTTTAAGACTAATATCGTATAAAAAACATTAGATAAGTATTCAAAGCATTTAAAAACACTATATTAAATTTGATTTTATCATTTCGATTTTATGGATTAATTATAACTCATAAACCAACCAAGAAAAGGAAAAACCACGATGGCTCGATTTTTCGAMTTTTTTCCAATTTACACCCTCTAATTGGTTGTAGCAAATTGTCATCGTTTGTTTAATACGATTATTTTAAGTGAAGTTTTATATAATTATTGGCAAAGTGTATGTATATACATATAAAGGGATTTAGATATATATATATACATATATATTTTTTCCAAAAGTTTAGTATATTATAGATAAAAATGAATCTCGTAGTCTAAGATCACAATCACTTATGCATGTTGTTTATGCAAAGATGTGCACAACAGTGTGTTCCTGATTGTAGCTCGAACTCGACCTCTAGACCGACCTGAACACTAGGGCGGACCTGCACAAAAAGGTGAGCACTCCGACGATCAAGTCAGTATAGGTCGGATTCCAAGTTTAGTTCGAAGCCAGAAATCATCGTACCTGATCGGGGAGTGAGGTCCTCTACTTATGGGTGGTGGTCCCGCTAATCTAGCGACGGTTACATTCGGTAATCTCGGGGCCGTCGGTTACACCCGGTAATCTCGGGACCGACGGTTACGCCCGATAATCACGCCGCAGACAGTTGCTCATCTCGGCCCCTACCGAGCTCCCCGGTAGGTCAGACCTGGGCCAGGTTCACCTCGGCCCTCATACTTAGCATTTGTCGGCGTTGGTGGCGGCCATCTCGGCTATCCGAGCTGGGGATGACTCATGAGCCATCTTGGAGCACCAATAGAGGTCCTCCACGTGTCCAGGGTATTCCCTTCCCCAAACACATGTTACCCATCAACTTGGAGAATGAATCTCAAATCATTATGTGTGTGGGAGTGAGAAGGAAAATGAGGGCCTTTATCCATCATTTTGTGAAGAGATTGACAATTGATCTTCACTTCTCATGGTTGGTGTTATGATGATTTTAGCAATCACATTTTCCGCGAGAAAATGACCTAAGTAAGACGACTTCTACGTGATTTGTTCTCTCATAGAAGGCCTGCTATGCTCAACCTATTGCTTGTTGTGCTCCAACTTAGAAGTAGGGGTTTTAGAGCCGTTTTATCACTGAAGGCTACTCTACTAGTTTCAGTGTGAGCACTTGACTAAAAGTCTCGACAGTAAAGAAGATTTTATCATGATCTTGCAAATCTACAACTCTCTTTAATGAGCGAGACTRTATCGAGATCTAAAGATTTTTCAAAGAGACTAGGTAGAATTTCTAATTTCTGTTCAACTTAGGTGAAGCAAATAGACCTACCAAAAAGGCGTAAGGAGCACCAACAAAAAACTTAACAATGCAATTAAAGTAGACAAATAATAACAACACCACATAAACGAAAAACAACATGACAACTCATTTGTGGAAATAAGTCTCTATTTGGGAACTAGAACCGAGACTATTATGTAATGTAGTAGTATAAACATCACCCAGAATAATATATAATAAATTATGGAATTGCCTTCTCCAAAGGGTGTCTAAAATAATTGGAAATTTGAATTTTTAAACCACGATTTAGTACAATACCAATATCTATAAAGGTTGGGTAGACTTCCCCAAGCATAAATTGAAGTAATATATATACTTCCTTATTATGTATTGTAAAATTGAATCATCACCTTTTTACTTTAAATGTAATATTGAATAAAAAGTTAGACAAATATTAATTAAAAAATTATATAAATATTGAAGCAAATTTATTTTCTAAAAATTGAAATGTTTGATAGGTTATCCAATAAAAAAAAATTGGGACAAAGATAGAGTATTTATTGTCTTCCTGTAACTAAATCAAAAAAGTGACAGTGACAGACTTAAAGAACCATTGAGATTCTTCACAAATCGCTCTCTCACCCACAACATGCTCTATAAATCGATTTTAAAAGATCACTACCAAAGAAGATCAATTTTTTCTCTATAAGAGACCAATTTGCTAGCTTTAAACACCCAAGACAAGCTCCAAAGGAGGCGACCGTTATGTGCCTTTCTTCTCACTAGTGTGTTCTATGTAAGCAGCATCGTGAATCACAGGGACATACATGTTTTTGCTTCTTGCAGCTTCTCAACCGCACTCTGACACACCCTCCTATCCTCCTTTGGCGGTCATTGGTCCTACCAACAGATCCCCACACTTTATTATCTTCTACTTTCACGGGACACCCCTTTACCAATGAAGCTAAAATCCTGTGGATGCATTTTGTTAGGGCTTTGTCGTGAATGATTTGGTTAGAAATAAATCATAGGATCTCCCCACGAAAAGAGCGATCTATCAATAACATTTTTTGAATCTATAATGTCATTGGTTGTATCATGGTGCAAATGATCTCCCATCTTTCAACACTATAACTTTGTCTCTATTTTCCAATTTTTCAACACTACTAACTTTGTCTCTTTTTAACCCATTAGAAAGCATTTGTGTAGCTCCATTAGTTTGGGATGTTATCCCATTTTGTACATCTTACATTCCATTACATTAATGAAATCATATATTAAAATAATAATAATAATAATAATAATAATAATAATAATAATAATAAAAAAGATAAAGGTAATGTAGACTAGTTTGTAACGAGGGGTAAGATGCATGAAGATAGATATCGGATGTCCGTTACAAATCGCGTGTCTGTCAATTATTGATTCATTAACTTCACATACAAATATCACAATATATATGTGGTTAATCAAGACCCCTACAATTTTATTTGAAGTCTTTTTTTATAACATGTGGGGGTGGAGAATTGAACTTACAATTTATTGATTGGAGATATATGTAATTTACCGTTGAGTTGTGTTCGCTTTGACAACTTTATTCGAAGTCAAATGTTAAATTTATCCGTTTGCATTCGTTGCACTAAACTAGTTCCGGTGAAAAATATCCCAAACAAACAAAAAAAAATTATAATTTACATTATTAGAAAACTAAGTGTATTTAATTTGTTTATATCCAATAAATTGAATACTCTTTTTTTTATATACAATAAATTGAATACTCTTACAATTGGTATGAATTTAATATTGCCATCACAAATAGAAAATATGGGTAATTTAGCTGTTTAAGTAACTAGTAATTTAATGTTGCAACCATCCCCAAAATTACATAATTTTTAGTGCACCTAAAATTACATTTAAATGTAAACTCAAAGAAAACAAAATTATAGGAAACAATGATTACATATTTGTAACCACAGAAATGGCAAATAAACATAAAAAGAATTTGAAATGGAATGAAAACAGAAAATGATGAATACTGAACATTTTTTTTAGTAATTTTGTATTTGATCTGCTTTCAATAAGTTTGAGGATAAGTTTCAATTTGATTCCTAACTTTCAAAAAGTGATAATTTGATTTCCGACCTTTAAAAAATAGTTATAAAAAATTTATGGAGTCAAATTTCTATAGGTACTAATGGAATGAACAATGATGATGTGGTAAATCTGAAATGATATAGTAATATTTATTAATTTTACATTATTTATAGTTCACGTGACATTTTTTACTTTTAATTTTTGCTTCTTATGTATATATGTAGCGTTTTTAAATATTTATGAAAAAGAAAAATGGCATGGTGAGGAGCGGGGACAAAATATGTATTTCCACAACAGATCCCGACGAGGATCGCCAATTTGATAATGTTTCTTTTTCTTCTTTTATCATCTTTAATAAAGAATTATAAATAAAAATTGTATATGAAAATTAATTTTTAAAATAAAACGTTCAATTTTTTGTATGTCATTATTACTTTTTAATACTTTTTTATGTATTTTATAAGTTGATAAAATAATATTTTATTTATATTTTAGAAAAAATAGAAATGGAGACCAGTTTTAAAGGTTTCCAAAATTTAGCAGAATATATGTTTCTAAATGATCTTTTATAGTGGGTCCAAATCTTAAAATCAGTTTAATAATATATTAAAAAAATGAGAAATTAAAAAATATAAATAGCAGCCAAAATACTAAAATTTCAAGAAACGGACTCTAAACGGCAAGATGAACACATGCGGCTCTACCATTAGTGTCAATTTCCGAATATAAAAAATAAAAGCAAAAACTAAAAGAAAAATAAAAAAATAAAGGTAAGACGGGCCAAAGATCTTGTAGTATGTTCCACGAGCCCACAAGACGGCCCAGTTCAATTCGGCCCATAAACGCAAAAAAAACCTAAATCTGCCGCTATATAAGCCCAAAAAAACCTAGGGTTTTGTCTCAGTTGCTAGAGCGAGCGAGAGAGAGACCTTCATTCCGCAGAGAGAAAGATGCCGGCCGGCCATGGACTTAGGTCTCGTACCAGAGATCTCTTCGCGAGGCCCTTCAGGAAGAAGGGTTACATTGCTCTCACCACATACCTCAGGACCTACAAGATCGGCGACTATGTCGACATCAAGGTTAACGGCGCCGTTCACAAAGGTATGCCTCACAAGTTCTACCATGGCCGTACCGGTCGTGTATGGAACGTCACCAAGCGCGCCATCGGTGTCGAGATCAACAAGCAGGTTTTGCTTCGCCTCCTCTCCTTACTGATTGATTTTGTTTGCGGTTGTTTTATCAGATCCGTTTTGGTTCGTAGCATCTTTTTTTTCTTTTTTGTTTTCAATCTGCTTCGATTTTTGGAATGTCTATGAATTTGACTGTTTAGGACGTGGATTGTGTTTGATTTTTATGACGACTCGTTTAGTTATAGGATGGAATGTGAAGTTATCGATTCTGTTCGGATTGTATGTCTCTGGCTGCTGTTTTTATTCTGAGCATGTTGAACTTATTCTGCTAATTTCTCTAGCAATTCATTTGGTGGCTGTTTGTTGAACTTTGTGTGTAGTTTTTGATGGCCAAACCACTATATTTTTGTTTGATGTAGCTGGAAATTCATACGATGCTCTACTTGTATGCGAATCATCGCCTATCTCACATCTTTGTAACCTTATGAGCCACCTGTGACTTGGTTGAGCATGTTCTTGGTTAGGTTTAGTTTAGTTTCTGACCTAATCCAAAACCAAGCTCGACTGTGTTTTTAAAACAAAATATACACCATTCAGTTCTGGTATCTGTTTATCAAACTTTTAAATGATCTGTGTGAATTTTCAGGTGGGTAACAGGATAATTAAGAAGAGGATCCATGTCCGTGTTGAGCACGTGCAGCCGTCTCGATGCACCGAGGATTTCCGAATGAGGAAGGTGAACAATGATGCACTCAAGGCTGATGCCAAGGCTAGAGGTGAAGTCATTAGTACCAAGAGGCAACCAGAAGGCCCCAAGCCAGGGTTCATGGTTGAAGGTGCAACAATGGAGACTGTCACCCCCATTCCATACGATGTCGTCAATGATCTCAAGGGTGGTTATTAGAATTTTCTCTTCTCTGAACTTGTCTTGTTTGGTTCTTTTTGGTTTGTCTTTGAACTTATTGGATAGTGTTACAATTTTCTCCTTAAGCTCCTAAATTTTGTTGCATACCAAACCTATCTATTGATGAATTGTTTCTTAGTTTCTGGTTTCGGCCATAACCTTGAGAAAAACTAGTGTAGTTTCAGCTTATTGAAAGTATTTTGTTAGTTTATGCTTTCTCTAATGTTTCTTTTTGCATTCACCCGTAGCTTCTGAATTTGAAAATGCATATGATAAAAAGTTGGAGCTGCATTTTATAATAATGGGCTTTAAAATTTTCCTATGTTGACTCAAATTTGTTCGAAAAAGATTCTATTTGATGTTATTTTTTAGCTATAGTGTTTTGAAAATTTGTTTCTATGATTTTGACTAAAATTTTAGAAAGGTGTGATACAAATCGAACAAAGTAAAACAGGTTCTAAAATTTTGATTGTAGAGAGTTTTAAACAAGATTGTTATTGGGAATTTGCTTTTTCATTTTTTGAATTTAGTTTTACAATTTTAGACTAAATTTTAGAACGAATGGATTTTTTTTCATTTCAAAATTATGGGGTTGCTTGAGTGTGCAATTGATGATAATGGTTTATGAAGATTTGAATATTGTATGTTTAAAATATTTATTCTGGCCTGTGTATTGTCAACTTTTTATGACTGTTTTTAAAACAGTCATTTTGCCCTCCATATTTAAGAAAGTTCATTTCATTTTTTCCAATCACAACACATTTTGAGTTACAATGGATATGCAATCTGTGTTAAAATTTATAAAAAATGTACTTAAATGTCACTTTAAAACTAAATTTATCTATAGTACCTGGATGAAATTTGAATCAAAGTTCTAAAAGTATAGATTAAAATAGTAGTATTATGCATGTGAGTATTGATTTGATTACTATCGCAGACGTTGTCAGTTTATAAGTATGTTTTAGGATGTTAATTTTTGGATAAATTTATTTTTAATCGCTTGTTTTTGTTAAAGTATATTGTCATTATTATTAATGTATGAAAATAAAGGCTAATGAGTATATGGCCCTATTTAATATTGTTTTCAAAAACTTATTCAAGTCCAAATTTTGGACGATTATTACAGTAAATCCTAATTCATGTGAAAGTTAACTTTTTTTTGAATTTTTAAAAAATCATTTCAATGAATGAAATCCTAAATTTTATTCTTTACCACTCCTTTTTCACCTGAAGCATTTTAAGGGTGAGGAACCAAAGTAGAATTTAAGAAGTTAAGATCAAAATAAACTCAATAGAGGAAGCAAGATAGAATTTTAACTTATTTATAAACAATCAATGAAAAAAATGCAAATGAAATAATTAACTTGGAAAAAAATCTAAAATAATTATGTTTGAAATTAGAAACAATCTAGAAAATTGTTGAATTCAACGAAATAGGCCAATTTAGAAAAATTTAAAATTTTAATAGACTATCCAAAATTTAAAATTTCAATGTCACATATTACCTTCCCTCATTCTCATTCTTATTGATTTAAAAAAAAGGTGAGTAAATAAGAAAAGATTAAAAAACACATTTGATCCATAAATTTTCGTAAAAGTAACGATTTAGTCCCTGAATTTTCAAAAGTAATGATTAGTCCATGTACTTTAAAAACTGGGTTAGATTTAATAGAAATTTGATGTGGCATGTTCATGTGTACAAATTTATTATCCAAGTGTACAGTTGGTTCAATATTGGGTCGGTTCAAAGTTAAATCGGTTTTCACGGCTTATTACGCTCCACGCCATCTTGAACCTACTCACAAACTCATCCGAGCCCAAATTGTTCTTCAGGTCCTTAAGATTGGGGAAAGCCTCCGGCGACTCGTAGGTCCCCAACCAGACCCTCATCTAATGCAAAAGCTCTCGTTGCTGGAGGTAAACCGACAACCCTTCGATTACCAGATCTAGAGCTCCAGCGTCGGAGACATTTACGCAGTGTGAGAAGATCGAATCCAAAGTATTCCCTTTGACCAACAAAATCAAATTCGAGAGAGTCGTCGTCACATCGGAAACATCTATTTGGCCAAACCAAAGACTGGTTGTGTTCATCATCTTCATATTTTTCGGCGAAAGCTGAAACAGGGGATCAAAGCCCAGAACATGGAATGTGAATCATTGCCCCTTTTATTTTTTGGGTCCTTTTAGAGAATGAGGGAGAAATTGAATTTTAGGATTATATTTATAGGCAGTGAGACATATAGAAGCCATGGCCGAAGAAATGGTGGAGACCTGGTCTAATTGAGGCGAAGAAATGAAAAAAAAAGGAACTTTTTGGATTTAATGAAAAAAGTCAGATTCAGTGTGTGAGTGGGGAGATTGATTCACACACGGAACGAAGAACAACCCAGAGTTCGTATTTGCCTTCCTCGGCATGTCGTACGACAGCGTGATTAGCACCATTTCTAATCTGATTACAAGCCGGCGGAGATTGCAAAGCAGGCGAAAGCAGCGAAAGCGAATGTCATAATCACTAAGTCTACGGAGAAGATTAAGAGTTTCACGGAGGAAAATTGACGTGTAGATTTTGTGCACCAATTCGTCGACGGTCTGTTGCTTGAGCTCCTCGGAGCTACGAAGGCAGACAAAAATGAGATGGCGTGGAGCGTGGGGTGATAAGCCGTGAAACATGGGACACCATTTTTCCTTTCTAATAATTAATATTATTTTTACATCTTAAACCGGTTCTACTTTGAACCGATCCAATATTGAACCAACCGTATTCTTGGACATTAAATTTGTACACATGGACATGCCACATCAAATTTCTGTTAAATCTAACCCAATTTTTAACGGCAAAGACTTAATTGTTACAAATTTGAAAGTACAGGAATTAAATCGTTACTTTTGAAAGTTCAAGGACTAAATCGTTACTTTCATGAAAATTCAGTATTTTTTAACCCTAAAGAAACAATGTTATACCCAAATAAAATAGACAAATTATTATCAAATGGGCTTTAAATAATTCAATCAACCCAATTCACTTAAATGGGTGGTTAATGTGTTTATATTTATCTTAATTCTATTTGATTTAATATATATATTTTTTCTTTTCCTGTTTTCCACTCTCCAATTATTAATTTGAATAATCTTTTTTTAGTATAATTTCTCACCACATAAAAATTAATATCGAATTACTAATCTTTGTTTTAGTACAAAAAAACGTGGAGTAGGAAAATTTAGACCTCCGACCAATAAAAAGTAGATGTAATTTATTGTTACGCTCTTTTCTATGTTAACCTTTTTATTAATATTATTAACAAAAATGTTAATAATATAAATAAAATCGACTTAAATATTATAGCTTATTATAGCTTAACTGGTTAGGTTAAAATTGAAAAATTCATGATTAAGAAAATAAACTCATTAAATTACATATTTTATTTCCATGATTTATATGATACTTATTTAGTCCCCAAATTTTAAAAAATTTCAATATCATCCTTATTTAGGCTTCAAAGTATCATCCTTATATCTTAAATTATGCTAATCTTTAGCTCATACGTCACAATATCCATCGATAGAATGAAAATGTGACACACATTTATTAAAATAAGGACGTTGCATAATTTGGTTGCTAATTGAACAGATTTGGGAGATTAACTCTCAATTACTATTCTAGTCAAATCCCAAATCTGATTCATCCATATTAAGTGTTACTAACGAAAAACTAATAGTAACATTATATATAGAAATCATACTATAGGAAACACTAAATAAGCACAAATACAATAATTCAAGAAAATGATGTCATTTTCCATTAAAAATATCAAAACATGGCTAATTTGAACCATTATATTTTGGCCTAGTGATAAATAAGAACTACTGTAAATAGTAAAGATAGGGATGACAATGGAGTGGGGCGTGGCCGGGGGCCATCCCCATTCCCGCCTCGTTGGGAATTTTGTCCCCATCTGGACTGGGGCGGGATTCCCGACAAATTTATTATTTATTTTTTTTGTATATATATATTATGGAAATTAAAATTAAAGAAGGGGCTAAATCAAAATTGTACTTGGGCTTTAAAAAAAATTTAAAAAGTATTTATTAAAATTAATATATATTAATATTATTATATATAAAAATATAAAATTAATAAAATATTAAACGGGACGCAGTCGGTGAGAGGGACGGGAATGAGGTGACTATCCCCGCCCCGTCCCCGTCGGGGACCCCGTTTAGGATCCCCGATCAGATTGGGGATTTCCCAACCCGATCGGATCTGATACCCGCGGAGGTCGGGTCACACAAATTTCCGGTTTTATCATCCAACGAAACCTTTATTTGTCATTGTCTCATTCTTCTTACTTTTTCACGTCTCTCTTCCCTTGAAAATAAAAATAAATAAATAAAAAACTAGATAAAATCCAATACAATTTTTGAAATGATATTGAAATAATAGAATTGATAGGAATTATTTTAGGCTATTGGAGAAATTTATAATCTTTTTATATTGCAAAAGATACAAATTAAAAATATGGGTTCAGCTATTTGAAATTTCTTTTAGTACAACATGAGGTAGGAGATGGAATTTAATTAACGTTAGCTTCTCCCGACAAATTTAAAATTTATGTATCTACGTTACATTTAATTTATGGTAAAAAAAGCGAGTGGAATGATTGCAAATATAAACATATTAGTGGTAAATCACGTCTATTTTTTTTTCCCCAAAATTTGGAGGTTAAAATTTCTATACCTAACATTTATTTTGGTCTGAGAAAAGAAGCGAGTTGAATGATTTTTCCTTCAAACTCCATAAATAAAACCAGAGCCCAATCTCAAAAAAAATCTCCATCTCCATCGCCATTCTCCATTTCCTTCCTTAACCTCTCCACCGCCGTCCATGGCTCCAGCCCCTTCCGCCGGCGCTGCGGCGGCCACCATCTTCCTCTGCTTCCTCCTCACCTCCGGCTCCGCCCTCGTCGCGGCGGAGCGCCACCATTTCTCCACTGTCCTGTCCCCGGCAAATCTCGGCCTCCGGCGCCGGGAGAAGCTCAGCCACCTCCACTTCTACTTCCACGACATCCTCGCCGGCCGGAACCCCACGGCGGTGCGGGTGGTGGAGCCGCCGCCGTCGAACGCCTCGCGGACTCTGTTCGGCGCGGTGGTGATGACGGACGATCCGCTGACGGAGCGGCCGGAAATCGGGTCGAAATTGCTCGGAAGAGCTCAGGGAATGTACGCCTCCGCCTCGCAAACCGAATTTGGGTTTCTGATGGTTATGAATTTCGCGTTCGTGGAAGGGAAGTACAATGGGAGTTATCTGAGCATTTTGGGGCGGAATACGGTGATGTCCGCCGTGAGGGAGATGCCGGTAGTCGGCGGCGGCGGGTTGTTCCGATTCGCACGTGGGTACGCTCAGGCAAGGACTCACACGGTGGATTTCGCCACCGGCGACGCCGTCGTGGAGTATAACGTCTATGTCTTCCATTATTGAAGAAGAATTTCTTGTCGTCTTTTTTCTTAGGGTTCCGTCTCTTCTCTGCTCTGGCTTTGAAGAAAATTTGAGAGTTTAAAATAATAAATAATATATTTATCAATGTYTTGGAAAATGAAAAAAATTTATGTATTATGTCAAGTTATAAATTTCAACTTCAATTAAACTTTTATATAAAYTACTTTCGTTGAAACTAGCATACCTGAACTGTAATTGACACTGTATTAAAAAATTTATTTAATTTAAATTTTAAATTTGAACAGAGTATAGAATYTATACCTCCTCGATCAATAAATCATATAAAATTCGATCAACAAACAAAAAAAAATTATGTTAAGAAATGCGAAATGCGAAAGAAAAATATTATTATTGATTATTTAAAAAGAAAGATTCAAATTCTAGAGTTCATAGAGTTCAAATTGATTGTTTAAAAAGAAAGTTAAATCTGAAGAAATTAAATCTTTTAAAATTAAAATTGACAATTTGTAAGATAGTTAGACCCTTATGAGTTTGAACCCATTCTTTCTCAATAAACCTTAGTTCGATCAATAGACCATCATGATGTTTTTTTTTTTAATTTTGGTTTTTAAAATTTAAAAAACTTCTTATTCTAAATAGAGATTTAAATCAACAATCTATGCTCATGAGTATAGTTCAAGTAGGGTTAAGACACTGTCTCCTATTAGAAAAAAGTCGTGAATTCGAATCTCTACTCCCACATGTTGTACTAAAAAATGAGCTTTGAACTTGGAGATGTGAGAAAAATGAAAAGATTAAGTGTTGGAAGTAGAATATTACATGATTATTTTTGTCTAAATTCAGGGCTTAGGAACATGTCGTCAAGTTATGTTTATTTTGTTCCCGAATTTTCAAAATGTTTTTTATAKTCCTTAAACTAAAAAGAAAAACAAGAAGTCATTTCTATTAATTTGCCACCTAATATCTGCTCATTCAATACTTGCTCTAGTCAACTACATGGCTCTAATACTGTAACGAAAACGAAGATGAGCAATAAAGCAGAAGCAATAGAGAAATTTTACAAAAGKAAGAACTTTTATTCATTGAATTGAAATTGTTCCAAAAAATTTATATGGAAACAAGAAAACCGACCACTAATCCACTACTTAGGTCACTAACCCACTACTTAGGCCACAACCTTCGAATTCTCCCTAAACCAACACCATAACTCCACTAAGCCACTAACCTATTAATTCTCTAAACTTTCAATACTCATCCACTACTTAATAAACTTCCCACTATGAAATTAATTACCGAGCATAACTCCTAAAATTGTGGAACCACTAACAAAGAAACTAATACATGTTTGCACTAATTCTTAATACTCCCCCTTATTGCAAACATACCAGCAGCAACATTTGCACTTCTGATTACTTCAATATTTCTCCATAGGAGTAGAAATCGCTTTTGTCTCCCTCATACGAAAACAATTCATTGTTGCATTAAGTTACTTCTCCCTTTTTAGTTTCTTGACATGATCGAGGAGTAGAACATGATTTTCTTCCTCAAAGCACAAAAAATCAATTTGACATGTAACAAGTTCCAAACGAATCATAGCATAACAAAAAATATCAATCATTCCTRAAGATTCTTCAGTAAATAAATACTTCAATTCAATATGGCCCATTATTTCCCAAACTCGAGTGACATAAGTATGCTAACACCAATCGACTTCATTAGGCCAAAATCATGAACAAACGCTTCAAATTCTTCATCAAGCAATACATTAGCAATCACAACACCTCGATAAGTAATCTTGGATTGCAACTTTCAAAACAATACTCTAAACCTCGAGTTTTGTCCAACGACATACATATTTGAGTAGGCCAATCCAAAGTAAGTTTYCCAAGCTTAAGTTTTCCAAGATGGTAGACAACACCAAAATTCTCATGTTGGAAAGCATCTTCCTCAAGGCTTTCCCTCCATGAAAATCCTTTCAACTGATCAAAAGAAATTTTTCGATCAACTTCACCTGCAACATCTACAAAGACTCCGTATGTGTAGTCTTTATAGTTACCCTTACAGAAAAATAATAATCCGACCAAACAACCAAATGTTAACCCAATAATAAGTCCAACTATAAGGCTAACCTTCGGATTATTTAAAAACTTAAGCTTGTACCATCTTTAGCACAAGAATGAGTAGAATTCCTGCCACAATTCAACTTGGTTCCAGAAACACTCCCAACATCAGCAACCTGAGAGACTGAAACAACATTCTTCCTCAAATTTGGACCATTACAACCATAAGAACATCGCCCAAGTCACAACTTTCAATATTGACATGTCCTTCTTCCTCATCAGGATGTAATGAATTACCAGCCACAGTGGCTCTTCTTCCACAAACATCATAAAGAAGAGATACATTTTCAGTAGTATGATGAAAACAACCAGAACCATCAGACCAATCCTCACTATAATCAAAAGAAGCATTAGTACAACAATTAATGRGTTGATCAATAACTTCAATTGATAAACAATGTTCCCAATTGAGTTGTTCAGACTTGTTAATTTCCTGTACAACATATGCTTCTGCTTCTTTAAGTTAACAATTTTGTTTAATATGACATGGTTTCCCACATCGACTACATACCACATTCACCTGATAATCACGCTTGATATGTCCCAGCTTTCGCACCTAAAACATCCTTTCGAATTACCTTTGGACTGTCTTTCATTTCCAGAATGCTTGCTATCATGAAGAACATTCARAAACATAACTTCCTTTAACTTTGTCTCTTGTAGAAATAATACCTTCTACCTCGGGAGAAGACCGCTTATTGTCACCAAACATTTGTTTCACCAAAGCTTCCTGATTTGATAGCAAATTTTCCAACTCAATGATAGACGGTTGATTTACCCAACCTTGTATCGAAGAAATAAACGACATAAACTCCTTTCGCAGTCCACAAATAAGATACCGATGCAAACGAGCATCGCTAATGGGTTCCTCCTTGTCCAATTCTGAAATTTCATAACACAAAGTTTTAACTTTCAGAAAATATTATGAAACCGATAAATTACCTTGAGTTTTTCCAACAAGTTCATTATCCAAATACTGCAACTTCGTTGTGTTYTTCTGAGTGAACAACCTTTCAAGTGTATCCCACACTTCCTTTGGAGAATCTACATCACGAACATGCTCGATRTACTCCTTGTCAATAGAAGTTCGTAAAGCAAATAAAACTTTGCSACATTTGATCTTCCACTTCCTTCGTACCTCAACATTTTGTGGAGTATCATTTGGAATTACACTATCTTCACCAGATATAAGATTTCACAAATCTTGCCCTTRTAGAATAGCTTCCATACATAGCCTCCAGTAGCTATAAATATCACCGGTAAGCTTATCTACGCAAACATTGCTTCCATCGTTCATCTTCACGAGCACTAGACTCAAATACCGATCACGAAACTCAAATACAAGATAAAGAACCTGGACGCTCTGATACCATGTAATGAAAACGAAGATGAGCAATAAAGTAGAAACAATAGAGAAACTTTACAAAGGAAGAACTTCCATTCATTGAATTGAGATTGTTACAAAGTATTTATATGGAAACAAGAAAATCGACCACTAATCCACTACTTAGGTCACTAACCCACTACTTAGGCCACAACCTTCAAATTCTCCTTAAACCAACACCATAACTCCACTAAGCCACTAAYCTATTAATTCTCTAAACTTTCAATCCACTCATCCACTACTTAATAAACTTCCCATTATGAAATTAATTACCGAACATAACTCCTAAAATCGTGGAACCACTAACAAAGAAACTAATACATGTTTACACTCATTCTTAACAAATACATGCCCACATCAATACATTAATATAGACRTTCAAAATCACGTCACCAATTTGTTAAAAAAATAATGACAAAMTAGTGAAAACCAATTAAGTTAGAACACTTGTTAGAATGTGTTTTTTCTCCCCCACTTTAAGGAGATTTCATTCTTCAAGGTCCACCACTAACTTGAAAACTTCATTTTCTTTTGGAAACTTTTGGCTCACTTCAGCACCAAAATGGCTTTCCTATTGGAATTGTGGGGCAAAAAGAGAATGGACCATCATTTTAAAGTCTAACTTGTAAACTTTAGAAAATCTTATGCCTTTTTTTTTTCTTTTCCTTTACAACTACCCTATATAATAATTCAAATGTGTTTTTTTTTTTAATTTGTTATCATTTTCTATCATGAGAGGGTATTAAGGAAKTTTGTTAATCCTTATGGATTATTACTACTATCAAAATTTAAGCATGACAAAATGAGTCAGATRCTGATTATTATGTTTATTAATATGCTCATATTTTAGGTAATTTAGGGCACRTTCGGTAATATTGCAGTTTCTTGTTTTTGTTTCTTTATTTTTKATGAAGAAGAATGTAATGCATGCTTCCAACCTCCAAGAATTCAAGTATGATAAAACAATTTTTTTCATTTATGCTTTGGAACAAATTTGAAATGAGAACAAGAATGAAAAAACTTGTTTTTGTTGTTTCCAAAATTTCTATGCCGTTGTGGGAATGTTCCCAAAAAATGATAAACAAGAAACAAAGTTAGTTGTAAAATGCTTAAATTTCTTAAGAAAATTAGAAACGAGAAACAAGAAACGAGAACGTTACAAAACGGATCCTTAATCTCCYAGGACTAAAGAAAATTTTATAATCCATTAATGACGGACTCAATTGATAAAATTTTACGGAATTAAAGATATCTATCTAGGTTAAAATACTCACATATACTTTTAAATTGTAAAGACATCCAAAATAGTTTTGGGTGATTTTGGGTATTTTTGGGAAATGTAAATGTTACTTTTCTCGTTTCTCATTCAAATATTTCTAAAATTTTATATAAATTTGTGAAAAAAAAACCAAATTTCTTGTTTCTTGTTTCTGTTTCCAAATTTTTTCAAAACATAAATAAAAGGAGTATTTTATATTATTGACTTATAAAATGTATAATAAATATTTAAAAAGTAAAAAAATAAAAGATTTGAGTATTTAATTTGAAAATAAATTTTTTTATAAAATATTACTTTTTATAATTTTAAATGGTAAAGAAAAAAATAGTTACCAAGTATATTTCTATTAATTTTTTCAATAAAAAATAAAAAAACAACTGTACATAGCCTCTTTTTTTAATTAAAAAATGAAAAATAAAAAAATAAAAAATAGAAAACGAGAAAAAATAAATAGAAACGAAAAAAAAAACCATTGCCTTTGGAAAGAATCAACGGCTTAATTTAAAAAAATAAAAAGTAATGGTAATAATTTCGTGGAAAAGATATAAAAAAAATTCACCAATAAAGTAAGAATGGCGACAATCTCGTCCCATGCACCTTTTAATTAGGCAATTACCCTTTTCCCCACTCCAAATTACAATATATAACTCCAATATAAAAAATTCCAGTCTCCACTGSTAATTAGAAACACAGGATGAAGGGGTGATTGTCCTTCTCTGACCCTTGCTGCCCAATCAGAAAACAGACAACTAATAMACGTTCTACTTATTGAACAAGGTTTTATGATTGGTTCATGATCCATGAATATCGAAGGCATCATTAGAGTGATCTCGTAGTTCCTAGAAGTTGGAGACGATGGAGTTGGTCTATGCTAATAAATTAAGTTCGCTTTCTTTATAATTTAAGCATGCTTATCTTGAAGTGATTCTAGATTGTAAATGACTTTAAAATTCTTTAGGAAGTATATGCACAATGACAGAGTATTGAAAACACCAATGTTACCTAATTTATAAGATAGTCTTTCAATTTTGAAAGCAATTAAGAATACTGTGTGATCGAAGCATAAGACTATTGTAGTAGTTGTACAAAACAATGACAACCTTTTGTTTATGTTTCTAAACAAACAGACACACGTGAATTAGTTGTTAATACCAGCATTGGAATGAAGAGATTCTAAAATAATACAAGATAGATGATAATATTGTTAAGGAAATATTAAAAGAATATTTGGTAGATACTACATATATATCAACAAAATACAATTTAATTTTTGGTAGCTTATTAAAGTTAAGTACAGTAAGGATAAAGAATATTTTAAAAGAGTAATAATATTASTTAGTAGGAATAGTCTTCAATCTCGAAAGAAATTGAATAAATAATAAATTACATTACATTGGTAAGTTAAGAGATGCATAGAAATGTAGGTTACAGAGAATGTGTGTCTATATATATATATTGATTTATATACATTCTAGATTAAAAAAAAATAAAAAAATAAAATTTTATCSTTATGGTTCACCGTAAACTTTCAATTTTATCAAATTAGCCTTTAAACTTAGTAAGAGYTAGCAAATTTTCACCATCTCTACTCAATTTTTACTAATTCACCCACTAATCTTAACCAGAAAAAAAAATGAAGAACTAAAAAAAGTCACTATTTTAATGAAGATCAAATACATTGTACAAAATTAAGTTTGATTAATACACAAAATTGATCATTAATTAACTCTACTGATACTTACCAATTTCAACAAAGAACCAACTTAATTGTCAATTTTGTTTGAATCTTACCAATTTCATACCAAGTACATGTTCAAGAATATGTTGGATGCAACTCAAAATACTTTTTTAATACTTTTTTCAACRATTCTTCAAACAAAAACTTAGCCTAAAGTAAAAATTGCATCACTTTTTAAAGTCAAAAGTAAAAATGCATCACTAATTAAAGTTTAAAGTAAAAGTTGCAACACTTATCAAAGTTTAAATTGCAATTCGATGAAGTTGGAAGTTTATGATAAAAATTGGTACCTTCAAAATCTTTCCTAAATTAATTTATCAATCAATCATTATGTATTTTTTAAAATTAATTATTCCATTAGAAAAATAGTGTAAAGAATAATGTTCTTAATAAAATATATAATTTAAATATATTTATTTGTATCGTTGATGTCGATTTGTAGACAAGTGTCACATAAGTGTTACGGATGTGCCACATACATCTWCATCTCCAAACTCTAAGTTACATGCATACAAAAATCTAGTACTGGTGTGGTGTTCTGCCGAATGCACTCCAATGTGTTTAGGTTAGAACTCAAGTTGGGAGCAAACTGATTATGGAAGAGAACAGAGGGGTATCAACATTCTCGATAGTGAAAATCTACTTGAATGTCAATCTCCTTGTGTAACGTAGGAGAACACGGTAATATCTTGGACAATTCTTTATGTTATGGATTGGATATAAGGTGTCAGCACCCTTCTAACTGGCTGTCCATCGTATAGATTGACTTCAAAACTCAAAATTGGGCTTTGTCCGATTTTTGCTAACTTGGTCTATGTGGCTTGGATGGAGCTAAGACAGCACCTTAGATGTGTTCGGTAACAAGTATCTAATTAAATTAGAATTTAAAAATAACCTAAAAAAAAGACGAAATTTTTATATATATATATATATATATATAAATTTATTTTATATTTTATTTCTTACGGAAAATCTTAAAATTGGGCCACTTTTATTTTCTTTTTGCATTTTTTTTTATCTTATTTACCCACGTCTCTTTCACTCCTCGTTGGGTTTAGCCGAATTTCCTCTGTTCTTTTATAGTGAAAACCGAAAAGTCGAAGACGAAACCCGGCAATTTGTTGCAGAACAATAATCTTCGGAGGAAGGATTTTCGTTCCGCATATGGGTACTAGGGAAGTATACGAAGAGAAGCTGAGGAGGGGCAATCTCTACCATGAACCCACCATGAATCCAGGGCTTGGATCGCCTCGCTGCCCTCGCTGTTTCTCTCTTCTTAATTCCGACCCTGTATTTTTCTCTGCTTCTGCCATATAATCCGTTTCTTAAACACGCAGTCTCTGTTTCTTTTTACTTGATTATGTTTTTGGGGTTCATGAATGGGTTCCGTGTGTTTTTTTGTTGATTCAGGATAAAAGTGAATGGGCCATCAATCCTGTTCTCCACGATGCCACTGCAGTGGTGAGTTCCCCTTTTACTTTGTTGTTTTGTCTGAGGAAAGCTGAATTTGATGAATGCTTCTAGATTTTGATTATGCAGTGACAAATTTAAACTATAAGCCGTGTTCTTTAAATTAGACTGCTATAGAGTAATTGATGAACGTAAGAGTTCAGTTTAATTCTGTTTCTCCTATTAGCAATTGGATAATCCTAACTATCTCATTTAATGCGCCTGTTTTATAAATATTTTGGTTTCCATGTCTCTTAATTATTTTCGTGCTGCCTTGTCAAACAGGCTGGATCGGGTCTTGGTGGGATGCTTAGTGCAGTTCATGCATTTAATACGGGTAATCATATATTCATATTGGATTTTCAATAATATTTTATTTAATTAACACAACAGCCTATTATTTTCTTTGATTCCAGGGATCCCACGCCTCCAAAGTCATGTGAAGGGGCCAAAGTGGCTTCCTTTTGTTATTGGGGTATGCCTAATATAAGTCTGATCTTCCTTTTATTTTGTTCTACTATTAAGTTATAAAATCCATTTGGTTTTTGTTGCCAGTAATCACTTGAGTTGCTTGGATTAAACTTGATTTTTCTGACTTTTGTTCCATCTACTAATTATGTGACTTCCTCCTTTATCTCTTTGTTGACAGGTGCCTGTTTTATTATTGTGTTCTGGTGCTGGTGCTGCATTTGGAGGTATGCTAGCAAATTGTGTCTTGTACTCTCATTGAAAAAATTGATGTTTCATTGGCCTGCTATTTTTGCTTTTCTTATAAAACAAGTAATGGATTATTGCATCGAAGTACATATACATATTAAGGGAAGGTTGGAACTTGCCTAAAAACTTGGAAGGATTAAAAGGTCTTTGATTTCCTACAAAATAAAAAGAAAGAAGAGTGAAGCAAATAAATTATGGCATAGAGTGGTTGCCAGTATATGTGGAAAGCATGACTTGGATGGTCTACGAATACAGAGAAGAAAAGGTGTTAAAGAAGTCCTTGGTGGAAAATAATCAAGTTCAAAGATGAAAGACTTGATTTGGAAGATTTTCTAAAATCTGGGTAGGCAGTATAAATAATAATTTTTTTTGCAGTGATTGTGATTCTTGGGTGGGCAATCAGCTGTTATATCTAAGATCCAAAGATTCTTGAAACATCTTAAAGGAAAAACATGTTTGTCTATGAAGCCTCAAGCCCGTGATTTTTTTGTTTTTTGCTTTTTTTTTTGATAAGAAACATGACAATTGTATTAATCACAAAAGAAGAGGACAAGCTACGGGCAGGGGTAGAGAAAACCCCATCTCAAAGGATTAATGCAACAAAGCCTTCCAATTTTGAATGATCGGAGAGAGAGAGAGTAGTTACAAAAGAATTTGCCACATTTGTAGCATCACCTAGAATACATTACTCCAAAAAAGTAGCGTCGTCTTGGGAAGATTCCTCAAAAGTTCTATGATTCCTTTCTAACCAAAGATTCCACAAAATTACAGTTTAGCAAAGTTCCACAAAGTACTTTTCCCTTGAAGTGACCACCTACAAGAGATTGGGTCAGCCAATCGTCCACTCTCCTAGAGAGACAAAGAGTTTTGTCAAAAATACCAAACAAGCTCGACCAGTAGGCATGAGCGAAGGGGCAGTGAAGGAAAATGTAGTGAAGGAAAATGTGGTCTAAGGACTTCTGATCTCTCAAACATAAAGAACATGTAGAGGGGGATGGGGGTTAGTTCTTACAAATCTTCTAAAGCCTATCATGGGTGTTGATACCTCTATAGGCTAGTGACCAAAGGAAGATTTCTATCTTCTTCAGGTATTGGGGGAAGTTGATCACCTGCTTTGGCTTCAACAACTTTAAGAAGGTTGATTTTGTTGTAAAAGAGCCCAAAGCATCAATATTCCAAAGCATGTCATCTTTTAAGGACCCCAACTGAATAGTATTATCAATCTGATTAATTAATCCCATCCAGTTGCTGATCTCCCTGTCAAAAAGGCCTCTCCTAAATCCCAAATCCTGCTCTGCGTCCCAACAACTTTCTATAGTTCTTTCTTTCTTTCTAGAAATCAAAAACAAATTTGGAAAAGTTCTCCAAGAGATGGTCCCATATCCACTAGTCTTTCCAAAATTTGATGCGTTSCCCATTATTCGCTTTGAAAGAGAGAATTTAGGAAAAGGCCAGTCTTCTTCGCTATATCAAACCAAGGCTGACCTTTAGCCGCTCCTCTAAGGAGAGTTATCACTCAACCTGAGGGGACCAACCCCATAAATGCTATTAATAACCTTGTGCCACAAGGCCTTATCCTCTTGGGTAAATCTCGATAGCCACTTTAAGAAGAGGGCATCATTACGTTGTTTGAAAGAGCCTACTCCCAAACCACCGTGCGTGAGGGGGAGGGAGGTGCTCTCCCATCTGACTAGTTGACTGCAAGGGTGGAAATTGCCTCCATCTCAGAAGAAATCTCTAACAAGCTTCTCTATCTCCTTAATAATTCCCACTAGAGTTTTTAACAGAGAAAAGTAGTATAACTATAAGGGTAAGCTATTTAGGACCATTTGAGATAACGTGAGATGACCACATTTTGARAGATTCAAATTCTTCCACTTAGACAGCTTGATTTTGAACTTAGCCACCATTTGTTCCCAAAATTTGAACGTCTTTATGCTTCCACCGAGGGGGAAGCCCAGATAAGGCGGAGGAAGCGACTGTTTTATAGCCTAGAGAAGAAGCCATGCTATTCAGCTAAGCATCATTAATGTTGATCCCCACCAAGGATGTCTTTGCTAGGTTTAAAGAAAGACATGCAGCAAAAACAAAAAGAGAAATTATCCCCACCAGTCCAATAAGTCCTTTGCTTTGTCTTGGTTGAAGATAATCGTGTCATTTTCGTATTGTAGGTGAGTAAGCACCACATTCTTTGACCCGACTAGAAAGCCCTTGAGATCATCTTTTCATGATAAAAATGAACCAAATGGCTGAAAGAATCTCCTATGAGAGTGAAGAGGAAGGGAGAAGGAGGGCACCCCTGTCTAAGGCCTCTTTGTGCTAAACCTCTACTAGGTTGTTGACTGTTTTTGGCACCATCTCAATGAGCTTTAAACCTTCATTGGGGGGACTTTCCTCTCTAAAGCAGAGGTGGTAGTCTACAGGGAAGTCATCCTCTTTTGTAGAAACGTTTTCCGAAATGGGCTCTATAATTTCTCATACTTACATAGAAATTTCAGACATTTTTTCCTGCTCTTTTCCTTTCTCTTTACCGCTTTTCGTGCTAGGGTTTGACTTTTGCTGGGCGTTTATGGTGCAGACATGTCCCTTTTTTCCAAACATCTTATCTGGTTGTCCTTGTTGAAAGAGACAGACCTTTTATCCCCTTCTCTCTTTGCAAACCCCCTATGATTTCTGGTTGTGGCCCTGTCTTTGTCTGTGTATTAGGCAGTGCTGTAGGATACATGGAGCTCATGGCTTGACAAAGGCCCCTGTTTACCAGATGATTTGTCTGATCTGCCCCAAACTGTTTTTGATGACCCTTAGGTCCAGCTTTGACTAAAGGGCAAGAGCTTTCAGACTCAAGCCTCCAAATATTCATTGGGAAAGCCCCTSCCTGTTCCTCCATTTGTAGAATCTTTTTGCATCGTCCGAAAAGAAGCTTCCATGAATTCTAGTGACTTTTTCGATCAGGTGGTTGCTATCTTGAAAGGATGAAACCTGAGCCATAAAAATGTGATGGGATGTTGAATCAAAATTTGAGAAATTTACTGTATAAGATATCTTGGTCTTTAAATTCTGCAGTCATGTCTYGGTGAAGTCCTTGTTTAAAGGACTAGTTGCTGATCCCTTGATGCCTCATGGACCTTGTTTATTCTTTTTGGAGCGGGTTCATGCTCCTGACAGTACAAAAGATGTCCATATCTGGTTAAGCTGTTATGTGCTTTAAAGCAATGGAGATCCTTCCACATTTGGTGTTTCATTTCTCAAATAACAGAGAATTGTGGAAGGAAGCTGGAGAAAGTTGAAATTTGAAGTCCAGGTGCATCAAACAAAGTCCAATGAGGAAAATTTAAAATAATTAAAAAATGGAGGGTACACTTGCAAACCAAGTTTGATGGTGTTGTTATGTAACATCGATGATGTAACCAAAAGAAAAAAACCAAAGGAGCAAGTGAAGTTTAGAAACTAGATGTGAAGTTCTTGGAATGAACTGTTACATGAATCGAGAAGTCGTCAAATATGTACTCTCGATCTGTATGAGATGGAGGACAAATGAGGCGAGGGATGGATTCTTGAGGACGAGTCATAAAAAATTGGGGGAAGAGTGGTTAGAGATRAAAGAATGGTGGCAAGTTGAAGCATGTGAACTCATGGAACAATTGAGACTAACTGGAGAAATTATGTGATAGCTTAATAGGCCATCTGTGCATACTGGAGAAATTATGTGATGGCTTAATATTCTACCTGTTATTCATTTTGGGTGTAGAATCTCAGATATGTTGGTTGGAGCTCCCAGAGAAGTATAGATGACGATTTGGCCTTCTACGAAACCTTGTTGTTGGATTCCTCAAATTATTATGTTTACCCAAGTACAATTGTGGATTCGGGCTCACCAAAGACCAAGGGGATACCACTTGCTCAACGAGGGGATGGCCAAGAATATTTAGTAATTATGGTGAACGTAGTTCAAGAGGCTAATTTTGGTGATTTGAAAGTGCATGTGGGCAAGAGATTGTGGGGCTTCATGGTATAAGACTTTATTTGACTTGTCAGTGTGTCTTTTCTAATGTAACTGACTATAACTAGGATGTCTTTTTGTGAACTTCTAAAGGGAGTTTTTCTAATCAAATTTGATGTAACTTTTCACGTATCAATTGGTTCTTTATAAGAGAGGACAAAACTCATGCTGTGATTTTACTATTCTTTTTGGGGATAAGAAACAATTGTATTCTGAGGATTCATACGGAAAAACTCTGTAGCTTGTGTATACAAGACATGGAGTCGTTGCAAAAATATATGGACAAGGAGGTCCAACAAGATGCTATTAACAATTCAAATCTAGTACCTCTTCAATTGMTTTATACTTCTAGGTTCTCACAAATCTTAAAGAGATGTTACTCAAATGGTCTTAGCTCTACCATGACAGGGTAATCAGTCAACAATTGAGTCAGAAAATTAGTAGGGCCATAACTTAAGTACCACAGGATTCAAAGGTTTGAATTAGGGACCACAAAATGCTTTAGAAAAATGAAAATTAAAGAACATAAGGCGATTCTCTTCACTTTTGAGGTTTGAATTTGGAAGTAGGCAAGCATTAGGATTTATAGATTGCATCTGACTGAAAGTGGTTCTGTCGAGAAGAGTGAGAGAACTTGATTTTTTAATAAATATTTTTGCCTCTGATTGGAAGCAATAATTCTTAAAGGAAGGGTATTTTGAATGAAAGGTGTGTAAGAAGATATTTTGTAGAGAACCCCTAGATTTATCAAGGGCCCACATTCTCGGATCCTTTTTGTGGATGCTTTAAATTTTTTGTGATGTGCAGATAAAGAGSACTTGTTGTTATTATATTGCTAAGGTTTTTATTGAAACTCAAAACCAACTTTTAGAGGTAGCATCTTGCTCTTGGATGCTCTTTTTGGTGGCTGTTAGGAAAAATATAAGGCTTCACATGAAATGTGGGGAGCAATAGTACCTGTCTAGTAGTACTCCTTGAATCTTATCCTTGCTCTGAAACCAACTTTTAAAGAAGAAACTACCTTAACCTATAGTTGTTTTAGGCATAGCAATGTGTGACTTAGCCTAAGTATCTGTCCATTATTACCAAGTTTGAACGTGTATCAAGGGTATCCAATTCTTTGGACACCCACCAACAACAATAAGCTTTTTCTGAATAGCTCTGTAGAAGTCYTAAAAATGTGAAAAGTTCCGATGAAGCTTACTAAGATACATGAAGTTTTGCTTATTCAAACACCTCCTTCCTAACTTTTGCCTTCCCATTAAAAACACCATTGTTTCTTTCCTAACTTAATAGCATTAACCATACTTATTTTTTGTTTTTCTCTTGAAAGGATAGTCTCAAAGCAATTGAGCCAAAATTCCATCCAACGAATAGTGAGAGACATGGACAATTACTAAGAATAGTGAAAATTACTAAGTTTGAACGTGTATCAAGGGTATCCAATTCTTTGGGGACCTTCTAACAACAATGAGCTCTTGAAGAGCTCTGCATAAGTCTAAAGTGTGAAAAGTTCCAATGCAGCTGATGCATTGAGTTTTGCTTATTCAAACATCTCCTTCCTAACTTTTTGCCTTCCCATTAAAAAACACTATTTCCCTAACATAATAGCATTAAACATACTTCTTTTTTGTTTTTCTCTTGAAAGGGTTGTCTCAAAGCAATTGAGCCAATATTCCATCCAAAGAATAGTGAAAGACATGGATATATATTGCCTTGGGTATTAGAGTTTTTCTAGCTTTGTCAGGTTTACTGTTGGGAACATGGTGTCGATTTTCTTTTGTGATGGTGGTTGGCTGGGAGATGGTCCCCTTTGCTTTCCTAGTCTTTACCAATTGCCATTGTCTAAATTTGTGCCCATGAATCTATTCTTGTTCTCACTAGAGATTCATTATCTTCAACTTTGGTTTTGCGTTGTTCGATTGTGAGTCTTCAAATGTTTAATTTCTCTTGTCCTTGCTAGCTAACTTCTGCCCTCGGACGGGAGTTAGGGATATTCAGTTTTGGTTCCAAGGATTTCTCTTGAAGCTCTTATTTTTCTCTTCTTAGAGTGTCCATCATTCTCACGAGTTTTTTGTTCTCCTTGCTCTGGAAGGTTAAAAAAGGTTAGATCTTTTGCCTGGCAAATCACCCATGGGAGGATTAGCACCATGGATACATATAGAGATCATTGTCTTCCATCGTGTTGGGGCCTTAGTGGTGCGAAGTGTGTAAGAAGGTCGTGGAAAGTCTGTATCATGTCTTTGGGAAGTGCCAGTTTGCTTTAGCGATTTGGGATAGCTTCTTGAGGAATTTCGATATATAATTGGCTTGTATCGCGTGGGCTTATGGTGGAGGAGGTTTTGTTTATTTTTTCTTGATAGAAGGGCGTTTTTGTGATGGACAATTTTTTTAATAGCCCAGAGTCAGAGCCCTTATACTGGGACACTCGTGCTCGTTCTAAGATCAGGACTTGTGGGACATCAAATATTTTTTCTTATTAAGCTCACTCGAAAGTTCGAACATGTGACATGGTATTATTACTCAAAGAACACCTACCCTTGCTAACGAGGTTTCCCCTTGGKGGCACATACAACTTTTTTTGCGGTTTTGTAAAATATTTTACTGGAGAGAAATAGGAGAGTCTTTAGCAATGAGAAAAGTTCCCCAAAGGAGGTTTGAGACTAGACTAAGTTCAATGCCTCCTTTGAGCTTCCATCATGATTATCCTTTATCTCTCATTCTTTTGAATTGAAGCTCATTTTTTGTAATTATYTATGTTTTCTTTCTTTCTCTCTTTTGCTTTGATTGCMTTTTGGCTCATTCTCATTTGTTTTCCATGAAAGTTTTTACTTATAAAAAATATTTTCAAATGCTTCCAAACAAAGATGGACAAAATCTTTCTTCCCTTTATTTTTTTGACATTCCCTGTGAGGGAATTAAGGCCAACGAGGGATATATTTTCTATGATCTTTCTGAAGTGTTTGGCCAKGAAGATAAGCCGTCCAAATAAAGACTTGAACCATTTTTTGGACATTTTTCTTTCCAAATTGCCAAGGAAAGATTCTCTGCTTGGTCTTACTAATATTCGTCTGTTGACAAGTTTTTTCTAGTAACAATGTTCCAACTCTTAGAATGCTCATCCAAAAGATAAAAAACAGTCTCATTTAGTCTACACCATAGCATAGAGATTTTGAAATTTCATTGTAAATGGTGGCAACCAAGCATCTTATATTCTCACATGTAATTTTTCACAATATCAATAAAAAGTCATGTTCCCTTGTAAAGAAAAAAGTGAAGTGAATCCAACCAAGCATTCTCCCAAAATTTGATCATCTTTCCGTATACGTCGTTAAGCTTTGACCATGACTGATATACACAAGCCTTTTTAAAATTGCGATATTCCACCTAGGGCTCCTAGAGCTTCTCCCTTTCTCCAATAGTAAACCTCTCATCCTCTTCCCATATATGCTAGAAAGCACTTTCCTAGAGGTTCCCCCTATGTCAAAGTTGCCTTCTACATTGATTAAGATCTGTGCAAAGAAGAGGTAGTCCTCCCTTATCTTCTTCGTGAAGCCATTTGTAAGTAGAATTTTCCTAGAGAAATTAGGTTCTTTCTTTCTTTCTTTCTTTCCTTTTTGGTCTTGGAGGATCCTTCTACTTTCAATTGGACGCTTACAAACATGAGGAAGATATGCAGTATCAAACGATTATAGTCCTATTTAGAATTAGAAGGAAAAGGCATTGTTGATTGATGGAACTTCTGCAATTATGTGATAGATTGAGTTGACTAAGTGTTGGATGGTCTTTGAAAGTTGGAAATTAGGGGATGTTTGGAATACTGTGGCTTAATGGCTCTCTTTGGGCTACAAATTCAAAATTATTTGACAATGTTTATATTTATATTCTTATCTAAAAAAAATGTCTGTATTTATATAATATTTATATGGACTATTATTGGCTATCCTTGTATAATTTTAAAGCTTTATGTATAGCTACCTGCAATACTAAATATGTTATAGGCAGTGAAAGATCTGCGTCGTTTTTTTTGTAATATCTTGAAATTCCAGGTAGCAACGTATATGTTTTGGACTTGCCTCATTGGAATATGATGGCTGAATGTGGCAAATTCAATTTTAGATCTCCATTATTCAAAACCTATCTGCAYATAAGCATCTGCTAAACTTAACTATTAATGTTGCTGAAGGTGCTTATAATTGGCTATTGACATGCAATTTTGCAGGGTTTGCTCTTCCAAAATTCGCTCAACTCACAGTAACATCCTACTATGCCACCTCGAGTGCTTCCCATTATGGAGTTTCACTTCTCACTCGAAAAATCGAAGAGAATCATACCTCTCGAACTAAGCAAGAAAGTACTCAATGATTTTTACAGGTCACATAATTTCAAGCAAGGAATCTTCTTCTTTCCTTTTCTTTTGTTTTTTTCCCTTTTGGAAATTTTGCAAGATTGTCTATGGCAATAGATTTATAGAGTCTGATTCGTGCTTTCCTGTGAACACAACTTACAATATATCATATATGTAAATTGCAGAGTATCCATTTAGCTATACATAATGTGCGAATAAAAAATTACCTGGTCCATAATTTCTTATGGTTGTGCAGACTTCCAACCACGAAGGACTTTTAAGAATTTTGTATAACATTATTGTTGATGATAATGGAAATTTTCAGTAGTAATGTGGTATGTTATAGTTTATTCAAGGCATTTCTTCCCTCATTGATGTTGATCCAAAACAAACAATTTCCTTGTTAGTTTTAAGGATTTACATTGAAACAAGCAAGACTAACTTATACTAACTGAATTACATTACAATAAATTGTTTCTTATTTTTTTCAGAAAAAAAGGTTGTTATTACTTCTGATTTAGGACTTTTGCTGAGGTGGGTTATTCAATTATATCAAGAATTAGAACATGGGACTGTTGAGATTCAAGATAGAGATTTAAGATTGTAATTTTAGAATTTAGCTGTTGATATACCGTTTGAACTGCCAGTCTAGATGGTGTTATAATTGTTGTTAAACTTGGAACATGATTGAAGCTAGCTGACCCTCTTTTAGAAGTGAATTACATTATGTTTCCAAGAGGGAATCCAGTGGCTCAAGTTTCAAACTAATCTGCTCTTTCATGTGTATTGTGAGGGAAGGGCCTGGCTTGGCTGGCTGTCTCCTTTTCAGCAGTCGAGGTACCTTAAAATTCACAAAGTGCACAGGATGTCACACAGTTGTCATTCGGAAATTAGCATATCTTGTCTTGTGTCCTTACAGACAGTTTTCCACTTCACTTTTGGTACATTTTTTTCACTGATTGAGCTGTGGGGGGCACCAATTGTCGCAGGAAAAAAAGGGAGAGGGGAGGGCTATGCTTTTGAGTACAGCCAGATGTGGCAGTGACTCAKATTGGATTCAATTAGTTTCTTGACTTTGCTTTCTGTATTTGCAGGCTCATTTGAATCTTGTCTTTGGCAATAACTACGAGGTTTTTTATATTTGTAGGACAATACTATGTTCCTAATTCCATTATTTTGTTAAAGATCCTTTGGTTGTCTACAAGTATTTTTGCGTGTTGGAGCATTTTATTACTGAGTTTCAACAGGCAGGTTCGGTTTGATATTCTAACCATAATCACGAACCACTCGTGAAGAGTCTACTTGCATGAAATGATAATATCTACTAATACAATTCGTTCTACAGGGTCTGGAGTGAAATTTTGTAAAGTAGAAGGATCACTCAGAGGTGATGTTTGCAAAGAATTACCAAATTGAACAAACTTCCACACATACATCAAACATAAAGAAAAAGGAAAGTTGTGAGCAGTACTTTTGCCATTTTGTTTTCTCTGATTTTCTTTCAGGACTTGTGCGACCATGAGAGATAGAATCTGTACCGTTGCCTTTCAGAGAGAGAGTATTGACTGGCTGTAAAGCAAAGAGTGACATAATTTCTTGTGTGTACTTCTCTTCTTAGTCTTTCGTTCTATGACACGTATAATTAATCAATTGAATGTTATTAAAGCTCGTAATTGGTAGGTCTCGAGTTTGAATCCCYCACTCCCACTTGTACTGAAAAAAAAGAGAGCTCGTAATCAGTGGGTGCATTAAGTTTCTTACTAGCTTAAAACTTTACATTATGAATGTATTGTATGTTGGGGAATTTAATTTGAAAAATTTGAATTTGATGACTCAATAAAAAGATTAGATCGATGACCCAAATAATGAGATCCATTATTTATTTATTTGTGCGAGGAAATTGGCCCAAGCCCAATTGTTGGCTTAGATCCATTAACTAATGCGTGATTGTCTTCACATCACAAAATAAATTTGTCAATCAAGATCAACTTAAAGAAAAAAAAAAAAACTTTTTGCCACATAATTTTCCTACTTTGATTTTTTTTCTTTAAATATAAGGATTCATTTTTGATAACGTTCTCTTTTCTTGTTTTCCTTTTCACATTTGTACGAACATTACTAAACAGTATGAAATATCCAACCAAACTATAAAAATGATTTTACTTCCAAATATCTTCCCACACCAGTCTCTTTTTACAAAAATCCAAATCCAACGTAAATAATTTAAATTCACTCACTCCATCAGTTGAACAGTGAGTACTAAACATCACATCAAATTATTGGATTATCTTTCGTTTTTTATTTTTTTTTCTTTTCTTCATTTGAGTGCTCAGATGAAATGACAGAGTCAGAGGTTTACGAAAAAAAAAAATAATAACAGGAAAGTTAAAAAGAAAAAAAAAAGAAAAAAAAAAGAAAAGAAAAGTTGAAGTATGGCTGCTCAGTATCAAAGTGGAAAAGGGCTTCCATTGAAAGTTATACTGTGCACTTAGTAGCACCACAGACACTTGTCCTCAAAAAGTAGGCAATCATCAATGTGTTTCTCCAAATTAAATTATATATATAAATCTGTATATTGGCTATCTTTCTTAATCCCCGAGGAGCGTCTAGATCCGTTTATGCGCATTTCGACTAGTCTCACGGGACAGTCATTAGTTCATAAGTAGGAGGTCTATTTTTGTCCCTCGGTTCCGACTTTGGTTCATTTTGAATATTCAATTGTTTGTTCATTTTAGTTTTGTAGTTTTGAAACATTCGTTTTGATTGATGTACTTTTAAAATGCGACCATTTTGATATTTGATTGGAGATATATGTCAATTATCGCTGAGCTATTTTGATCTTTATAACACATTTTGATCTTTTAATTTTAATTCATATCGACACTTTGCTTACCAAATTTCTTGAAATATAGTCATAAATGTGTATCGAAAGAGTTTTTATTGTATATACTTTACAAATGAGGACCAAAATAATAACTCTGCAGAAATATAGGTATCAGACAAAAATAAAATAGGGATAAAAATGAATTAAAAATGTTGAAATTACTGTGACCAAAATAATATTTTCCAAATACCCCACTTAATTAAGTAACACAAATTTCACCTTTCTTATTAAGCTTTTATACTTATTTCATTTTAATTGTTAGACTTTTTAAAATGTTTTGTTTTAGTTTCTGATCTTGACATGTGGGTAAGTATTTGAAGTTGTAGGGTTGGATTTTGAAATAGATTTCACACGTTTGTCAAATAATTAATAGAAAATTAATGACAAAGATAACAACTTCTAATATAAAATTTAGAGGCAGAAATAGAATAATTTGAAAGTTGAAAAGATCAAAATAAAATGAATATAAAAAGCATAGGGACAAATTAGGATGTAAGCCTCCATAGTATTTTTGTTTTGTTAATTAGACAAATGATAGAAACCAAGAAACCAATAAAATTCAATTTCAATTAAGAAATAAGTATTTTACCATTCCCAATTAAGTTATACATCTTATCATTATTATCGTTATATTTTTTGATAATTCAAAATCGATCTCTTTTAACTTTTAACTCGAGATATATCAAGAATTTTTGGTATTAATTAATGTTCATCGGAAGCTTGAACACAAAGACTTCATGGTCAATAGGGTCGCCATTCGGGAGCTTGAGTACAATTATACATCTTATTATTAGTATCTATGTTGGTGATATTTTTATTTACATTGCGATATTTCATCGATTATTAAATCCACATGTGCATATATTACTCTTGTGCATAATGTAATATTAAATACCAATATATGGTGGGATTTCAGTCAATTTTTGAAAGAATTAATGAGTCCATGGATAAATTATTTGTATATAATGCATCATGGTGTTATGATTTAAACTTCTTTGGTCAATTAAGTAATTAATGTTGGACAAGATTGGTGCAGCCTTACCAGAAATGTATTCAATTATTTTGGATATAATTAGAAACCAAATTAATTATTCAATTTAGTTCAACTAACAAAATTGAGTTAATTTAGGTTGGTTAATAATCATTTTGTTTCATGTTATTGAAAATTAAGCTTATAAATATACTTTCACCTATATATATAGTTTTGTTGTCTACAATTTAAAAATACTTTCAAAATTTAAGCCAAAGGTTGAAAATTATAGTTTTAAAAATTGTGTTTTTATTTTCTTTTTAAATTTTGACTAAAAATTCAAATGTGTTTGAAGGTGAAAAACGTATAAAAGAAATTGTAAGGTAACAAACGACATTTTTAAAATAGAAAATAAATAATGAAATCATTAACAAACGAGATTTTAATTAATATTTCATTTTCCACTTTTCAGGTATATATATACCTAACTCACTTGAAAGGGTGTAAACACATTTTGATGTCCAACATTGCACATGGTTGGGATTGGTCCTCTTGAGACATCCTAAACACATCATAAACAATTAATTACTTAATTTAATTTCTTTGACTTTAATATGAAATAATTTTATTTAAAATTTTTGAATCGCTTTATTAAAACTGTGTTATTAATGAATAAGTCTAGCTTGGCAAAAGAAATTAATTAATAATATAACAAAAAGATTAACTTATCCAATCCATCAATTTAAACTTTTGAATTTAAAAATAATTTAACATGGTACAGAAGAATGATTTTGGCTCAAACTCTCTGTAATAATGTTATTTTCCTTCTCATCCACATTCCACACACACACATATAGTAATAGTTCATGAGTTAGATATCATATTGACATATTAGCTCACATAGACCTATTAGATTTACTCGACATAACTTATAATTAATTTCCATGAGCCAAAATACAAATATAATTACCCCATTGCTTAATTTTTTTTTGGACTGCATGCTCGGAACTTGTTGGGATCTGATACCATAACAATATTCATGGAGTTTCATCTCAAACCCAATTGAGAATGAGGGAAGTAGCCCACTTATAACATAAATCCATGTTAGGTCTCTTATCTTTTCAACATGGGATCGTCAAGATGCATGTAATTAACATAGAAATGAATGTATTAGAGCATTATTATAAATGATTTAGTTGAATAGCTAGGGTGAGGATTTATTTGTTTTTTGTTTTTTGTTTTTTGAATACAACGGTGGGGATTCGAACTCATGATCTTTCGATTAAGAATATATGTCTTAATTCGTTGAACATATCTCGTGAGAGTATTGTTTCTCGGGGCTTAATGATGGAGTACACATTTAGGGTTTTGGATTGATTTGTTGAATGGAAGATGAAATTAAACCATGGCCCCTCTTGCTTCCTCCACAAAATAAAACTCATACATGTTTGTACAAATTTCTCTCTCTCTATTTTATCAAATTCATCCAAAAAATGCCTCCTTTTCCCCTACATCTATAGTTCCCATTTTCATAAGAATCTCTCTCTCTCTCTCTCTCTCAAAAGCAGCAGTACAAAAGATGAGAAAACAAAGATGGCAGAACCTAACTACCATACACGTTCACATGTTGTTTCGAAAGACCTCGTAGAGCCCAAATTCAGGACACACCCTTTTCCCTTTTTCCCCCCTCTCTCTCACCCTTGGTTTTCCCATTTTTAAGCCCTTACCTTAACTTGTTTTTTCCTTTAATTCTTTTGACGACATGTTTCTACATTAGATAATGGACAACGAAATAGTTACCAGACATATTCTTTACTTAATGGAGCCCGCTATCGACTCTCGAATAAATTCCTCTCCCTCGAAAAATTAGTATAGGAACCATTTCGGGTTTGGATCGTAATAGATTCGCGTCACATGACAAATATGTACACTTAGAAGTGACCCATGCCAGCTTCTCAATTGTAGAATCCCCTCCATCATCATATCCAACTTAGTAATCACTTTTTTTTCTCTTTGTGAGAGAAATGGGAATGACCCTCCATTAATTCCCATTCCACTACCTCAATATTTCCAATCTAACATCACAGCCCATATATTCCAATATCTCTGCCCTAAGCTATAAGGGCTTGGGGCATGGCCCCCCATAGGCACTCAAAAAACCCCACATGATCTCTACATCCAACGTACCATATTCACTTCAAGCTCTTCTTATGCCCTTCTCCTTCTTCCATTCAACACATTCATGTGTAGATTCCCTTCCTTCACTTTCTTTTCCCTTTTTCCTTGCCCCCCTCTCCCCTTTTCAGTTTCGGTTTCGAAAACGAGTGGCGTTCGGTTGGCCAACAATTGTACCCTTTCTGCGGACGATGTTGATGGTTGAGCGAGTGGCCCTCGTGCTTGGGTGAAATTCAGGCGTGCAGGAGTGTGTAGCTGGTTAGAAATTTTCTTAAGGAGGAGCAAAATTTATCATTCTAGCTATTTGAAAAACTTCGAGAGAAACTAGAGGAAAAACTTTTAGATCTTATTAGGCGTGTTTGGTGTCAAATCCTGATTCAACTTTTCCTATCTTTAGTTCCCAAGGGGAGAGCTTAGGTGGCTCGGAGTCTCAAAGAATATCCTTGAGATCTTGGGTTCAAGCCATATGGGACGCAACTTCTACCAAACAATGATCTCTTGCGTATGTATGGGTATGAAGACAATGCGCATACCTCCAGGTATAAGGGCATAAAGACTAAAGGGCCGCTGACTCCTGGATAATAAAAAAAAACTTTTCCTATCTTTTAGATTCACTTAATCAAATGAATCAAGAGTGAAGTATTTATGTTTGGT